TTCCAGGTGTCCTACTATCCCTTGATTACAGTTTGTGTGCATGTTCAGTGTGGCAGGTGGTCAGTTGTATCCATTGTCCTTTAGCACTTTTCTCCCTAGGAGGATGCAACTGCTGAGCCTATATGTGCATATTTGGGGAGGGAGTCTCATGTCTGTCCAAGTGCCCTGCCTGTGTTCAACCTGTTGAATAGCGCATTCTCAAATAGGAACCTAGTGCCCACTTCCATTCTCAGTGTGGCAATCTGACCCCTGGGAAAATGAGCTCAACCAAATGTGCTTCCAAGCAAAACACAGCCTTAACTGTTTTTTAAGCAAAGGTTTTATTTTGCTGTATGCAGGTTTGTTGGTCACACTGTAGTTGAGGGGGCCGTTTTAACTTCTATAAACACGTTAACAGTATTACAAAGCCCTAGCACTAGGGTGTGATTGAGATTATGGGTTCTCATCCTAACATTTAATTTATCACTGTATAAAATGTTAAAAATATATTTTATCTCCAAAATGTCTCTAAATGGAGAGCATGGAGGTGCAGTCGTGCCTTGATCAATTCCAGATCTGGGCTTGTACCTGCATAGAGTTTGAATGATCTCCCTGTGTTCGCGAGTGTTTCCTCTGGGTACTCCGGTTTCCTTCTAAAATCCCAAAACACAGAGGCTTCTGGGAAATTTGGCCCTGATGTGAATATGTGTGTATCTGTGTTTGTGTCTTTGTGTCTTTGTGTCTGTCTGTTCTGCGATGGACTGCAGTCCAAGGTGTATCCTGCCTTGAACCCGTTGCCAGGGTAGGCTCTGGCTCCCCCACTACCCTGAATTGAAAGAAGCAGTTAGAAGGTGGGTGGATGTTTCTGAAACCCATTTGCCAGCCCCAAGCTGAAGTGTGGATTTGTCTTACCTAAAGGACTGACTCCCTTCATATAAAATCCACTGTTTTTAAACTTTCAATTTTAAAAATTAAAAACAGAAACTGCTCTTATTCTTAATGGAGCTGGTGTAATGTAAACTGAAGGACACTGTAGCCCATCAAGAAAATGTTAAACTTTTATTGCACTGTTGTACTGTCTCATCAGAAGCCAACTCTTGTACATACTTGTATGCCCTCTGTTTAGGAGAACATCATGAGAGTAGAACTGAGCCCAGGAATAAAATGGAGACTCACAGCTCTGTATAAAAAGGGGGAAAAGCATTGTGTCCATGTGCTACATGCTATGACATGCCAATAGGAATTTGGGAAGATAAAATGTAGCTGGAACTGATTTAATCTATTAATTGTTCTCAGGGAGGATGTGATCATACGTTGCTGCCAGTAAGCAACCTCTCAGCCTGCCAGTGCTTGAAATAGGACATTCTCCAGTAATTGTTAACACCTGATTGCTCAGTGGCTGTTGGCTCAGGGGGGCAGGTATGGACAGGTTCTGAATCTGCACTCAGTGCTCATGCAGGGCTGCTGCTCCTACAGTGCTGAACCATTGCTCCATGTGAACAAATGCACTCAGTTCAAACACACATCGCACTTGACTGTGGATCTAAGCTAGTTGTAGCACACACTTCCCCTGAGGTATCCAGGACTGGTATGCAGAGTTCTCTTTTAGCTGTCATGATAAAGGCATAAAAGAATTGTTCCACATTCCAGTTTTGTTTTTTATTCATTTTCTTAAAAATGTGCAGAAAAACCCAACACTGACAGAAAAGGTGTTCTTTTTTTTTGTTTTGTGGTCTGTTTAATACATACAGTATTGATCAGGACTTTGTCATTAAACTATTTTTCACCACATTTCAGAAGACACATGCAGTAGGTACAGCAAATAAAACAAAATAAAACAAAATGCTGTTTTATTTACTTTTCACCTTAAAGACTGTCAGTAGATATACTGTATATTGTTTTAATATAAACTCAACATAATGAGGAAAGCACACACAAAATGGAGGGTAATTATAAATTTTAAAAGATGAGAAAAAGCCACATTTTCATAATCTTGACCACATTATCACAGTTTTTGCACTGGCAAATATATATTATTGCCATAGTTTTTTCCTTAAGGACAATTGCAGCAAATGAATGAAACAAAGTGCAAATTATGGGTTTAAGTCTCTACCCAACCTGTATTTGTAAAATATAAAAATACAAATTTTGTATTTTTTTGGACGCAGCTTGACCATCATATCTGAAAATGTATAGTATCTTATGAATCATCTTTAAGAAGGACTCAGTTGCTCAATTAAATCTCAAGCATATTAGCACGCAGATCCAAAGGTTCTCTGTCACAAGACACTCCAAATGAATGTAGGCAGGTACCAAGTACAGTGCATCTTGAGTGCATGAGTGACCGAGAGGATTGTAAGCAATCTTCATCCAGTACTCACCACTATGGTCTTGCTTATAAACAGTCTGCACGTTTTGAAATGGATTCACTAGTGTTTGAGTCTGTTTTAGAGGAAAACAAATATTTTAACCTACATCTCAGTGTTATTAATTAAATGGTATTAATTGTTCTTATGGCAACTGTGAATAATAAAGAAAATGTGTATTAACAGCTCCACTGTCTAGAAATAAAGCAGTAGGTGTAGTCTACAAGATAGACATAGTTTCTCAGCAGTCTGGAGACTATACTTTCCATGTGCTTTGTAGAATAGACTGGACTGGCCACCATAGATAATATTTATAAAAAATAGACTTTTGAGTTCTTCAATGGGGCAAACATTTTCTTCTTTAGAAAACATTTTCAAAATAATTTGGGAAGGACAGAGTGAATCTCTCTCAGGCTGAGGCGCTGCATCACAATTTTTGGCCATGTGAAGGATGAGTTGTTGATTGGTATAGTGAATCAGTGTAAAGATGAAGTTATGAGGCCTCTGAGTACTGGAACTTGTAAATCCCATGTATCGTCATGACTTAAAAGAGCTTGTTGGAGGCCTGTGAAGGTAGACATTTTGGTAAAAGGTTTTATAACAAGTTAATAGAATTATCACCCTTGGTGTCCTCTGGCAAGTCAACAATATGTAAACCTGATTGCTGGCTTCTATCATCCAAATGGTGATATAAACTGGCTTATGTACTTTTCTATCTGTATGATGCTATTGTTTTCCTTGCACTGTGCAGTCTGCAGGATATCTACCCTCTTACTTTCTGTCTTGAAAGATGGCAGAGCAACTGCAATCCTCTCCTGCAATTGTTTGAGGTGAGACTGAATTGTGCCACGAGTGACACACACAGCTTTAACTTTAACTGCAAAGAGATTGGTTTTCAGGGAGGCTTCAACAAGGAGAACTGTGTTTCAGAGTGCCTTACACAGAGTCTTCACAGGAAAGAGTTGTGTCTGCAGTTGTGGCCACCAATGTAAGAAGCTGCTTCCTGGTTTGACTAAGTCAAGTTTTTCAGCAGCTTGCAACTAAAGTTACAAAAAGATCCCTGAACTGCAGCCACTTGAGGTATCCTAAGTGATATGTATTTTAAAATGTTTGCACAAAACACATTTTTTAATCACATTTATATATTATTTTTACTGTTTGTGTTGGTCTAGTGGTCTATGCTGGCACAGTGGTTAGCATTGCTGCTCCATAATACTGGGGTCTAGAGTTCAATTCCAGAACTGGGGTGCTATCTGTGTGGAGTTTGTATGGTTTCCCCATGTTAACGTGGGTTTTCTCTTGGTACTCCGGTTTCCTACCACAGTCCAAAAACATACTGGCAGGTTTCTGGGAAAACTGGCCCTAGGTGCGCGCATGTCTCTGTTGGTCTCTGGGTATATTCTGCCTTGTGCCCGTTGCTTTCCAGGACAGACTCAGGCTCCCCCACGACTGTGAATCAGAAGAAGTGGTTAGAAAATGGATGAATATTCATATGTGTTCTTCAGTCCTGTGTCACTGTTGCAAAATGGTGTGTTCTGTGTTGCAGTATTGAATGATTTGTGTCGGTACGATATTGTCTCTGTCTTCAGAACTATAGCTAATCATACCTGCATCGAAAGACGTCAGCTGCCTAGTTGATGTCACGTCTTCTGTGGGCTGTACTGTCTCATTTAGGGTGCCTCAGTATGGCGTAACACTGAAATAGTCTGCACTGACAAAGGATGACAGCAGAACTAACTGTCCTGGAGTATGAGAACATATGATATGTTTGTTATAGCCCTCACTAATATTACGATTAAAAATAACCTAGAGAAACTTGGTGCGTGTCTTTTTGTAGTTCATTTTTAAACCGCTTTTATGCATTATTAATCTCCTGATAAATATACTTGGATTCCCATGATCTTTCAAAATTAATGTTGCATGTATGAGAAGATTCAAGTTACCCTAATGTGTCCTCCAGTCTAGCACTGGGACAACTGGTGTTGTGCACAGCAAATAAACAACATGCCTCTAGAATTGATGATGGACATGAGGATCAACAGGGGGACCAAGCAGGAAAAGAGAATAACCTCTTCTTTAACAGCTACACCAAAGATGCTGCAGAGGCAGTCGTCGTGTGAAATAAGACAGTCTGGTCCACTTTTTTTAACTTCATATAAACTCTGGCACTTTCTCTGTTGAGGTCAATAAAACAACAAAATACATCAGATTTCTTCCTTTAAACTTTTTAAGTTCAATTAGATTTTGCTTTTAGAAAAAAAACCATTGAAACCCCCTGCAGACGCAACCTACTGTACTGACAGCTCATCAGCACTGTTGTGACTCTTCACCACAGCGAGGCTGCAGAAGTGCTGGTGGACATGAAAGGAGGCAGCCAAAGGTGACGAGTGCAGTTCTCCACAATGAGCTGAAAAGAGCCTCCCAGTGGGGGTGATTTATGTCTTTTGTCCTTCAGGTCACCTCAGGGCATTTTGGAAGGTAATGTCTGTTGGATCACTTGTGTATGTGTGCATGAGAGAGAGGGTGTGTGTGTGTGTGTGCCCCCACAAGCCCTTTATGTTTTCTTTTTCTAGTACAACACCCTTTTCCCATCACTCCAACTAGGGGATACTACAAAACTCACCGCTTCTCTGCCACACACAGGTCTGCTGCAGGACTTTTTCTTTGTCCTTTGAGAATACGTATCTAATAGCAACCACCAAGTTTTTTTTTTTTCCTTTTGGTTTCCACATGGAATCTGCTTTGGGGTGTGTGGGAATTGCCATCTTTGGGGAATACGGAACATCTGTGGTTGTGAGCACAGGAGAGCGATAGAGAGCTCTTGATCTGTTCAGCACATTTCCTGTGTTTTGAGGATAAGAATTTTCTTCTTTTTTTTTTCCTTTCAGTCACTTTTTCTTAAAGCTGGTGCGGGGGGCAGAAACTGAGCGCTGGAACTTTACTTTTCTTTTGTCGCCTTGTTTGTGTTCAGAGGTGCTGGGGGGTGCGTACCCATTTCTAGTTTCAAAAGGGACACACTGGCAGAACGCAGTTCTAAATCGTCGCCACTGCTGAGGAAAAGGCCGAGCAGGACTCCAGCTGCAGGTATGAGACAAGAACTCGGCTCACGTCAGCTGTGTACTTTTGGCAGCAAACCTCTGCACAGCGTCTTTTCCAAAAGAACATTGTGTCCAAAAACCTTTTAAAAGCTGGCAGTCATCTAATTGCTGTTTCTTCAATGTCTTAATTTTAAGGATAATAACAAGCCAAAGGTGTTTGCTTGCAGAGTAGGCTTTTTGAGGTCTATGTTTCCAGTAATTATGAGGAAGAAATTTAAAATACCTCTAAGAAACAGTTGCATAAAAATGTAAGGAGGAGGCAGACAATAACAGTGAGGTGTAAGACTATTTAAGGAATCGTTACCAAAAACTGATTCTCTACAATTTGTAGTAATTTATGTTTAAGCAAAAAATCTGTGGTACATGGAAAGAAAGTTTTTTTTTCTGTTTGGTCAAGATATGTTTAATTCTAAATCATCAAATTCACAATTGCTTAAATTGATTATGTTAATAAATTAGGATTTGGCCTCACTACTCAAAAGCAGTTTATGTAGTATATACTGTATTATGTATTATGGGAACAAATATTAATTACTACTTGCCATAGGGGCTGAACTGTCTAAAGAGACTTTTAATTCTGTCTTTTGCATATAAAACGTCAGCTACTGTAGCCACCTTAGATCATTGTTATACCTTTATTAGAGCTGGCCAAGGTGTCATAGTTAACTTTTGCCAGGTAAAGTTGTAAGAACTCGCTTATATTCATTACCACAATTCATCCATCCTTATAAGTATATTATATTCTGTCTGTAAGGATAAAAATGCTTTTTTCCCTTCTAACAGCTACAGTTTTTGCTGCACTTGCTGGAGTAGTGTAATAATCATTATTCTTGAGAACGGACAAAATATTGTTTACTTGGGGACTTATTAAGTTCTTTCCAATAAAGAAGATATTTTTTTTACTCATACAGTATTGGGCTTTAAACGTACAAAAAAATTATAAAAATAACAAAGAATACCCGAAAGAAGAGGCCATTGGGCATATCCAGCTCTTGTAGTTGATATTATCTAATTAATCTACTCATCTCATCCAGCCTACCAGTGATCTGCTGAAACAAACCAGTGCATCAGATTCAGCAGCATAGCAGAGCATTTTCTTCTAGACACCCACAAGACAAGAAATGTGGTCAGCATTTGGACAGAGTGAGGACCCTAATTCCAGCCCCTATAGATGATTCCAGGGCAAGAGTGATAACCTGTATTTAACAGATAGAAATCAAATGCTACCTGTATGCTGAACACTGTTAACTTAAATATTTCATTGTAAACAGGGTGTTAAGCTACACATTTCCAGAAACAAATAGAAAAAAAGATGGATTTTAAAGATTAGTTAGCAATTTGTTATTTAAATAAATGTTTCGGTGACCACATTATGATTAATGAGTAACAGTTAAACACATTAAACTATATGTTGTTTTTTGTTTGCCTTAACTAATGCGGAAGCTTATAGAATGTCTTGATATTCTGATGTCAGCCATTCACAGCAGGTAAGAGCTGACTTACAAAAAGCTACTGTAGGAGTTCTTACACATTCAACTTCCAACAATGTACGAACTACAAGTTAACTCCTTTAGTTAGCAAAGATAGATTTTTGTGTTTTGTGAGCTGTGCATTGAGCAGCATTACCTGATGATTAGAGCAACAAAGTAGTGTTAATAAAGCTCCTTCATGTTTGTTCTCATTTCTCCTGCTATTCCTCCCCCGGATTTCACTTTGGAAACCTGGTTTAATAGATATTTTCACATTGGCCGCCTGCTAAGGTGGTTTGTCTCTCACGTGGGGAAGCTCAGTGGCGCAGACCGAATGTCGGTCCAGATATGATGTGTCACGTCAACTTCTATTTGCATTCTGCTTTGATCAGTCACACGATGCCTTCAACCCATGGTCAGGCTTTTGTATTTAACTTTTTCCTTTCATGGAAAATACCAAAAACTTACTGTACAGTACAATGGCGGCGGTCCTACCCTGTCATCACTTCAGAATATCAGAATGAAAGAAATCAAAATCAGTATAGCAGCTGTGTATGAAGTATGTGGGTAAAGCAACACTTTTAAGTGACAGCTTGCTAAACACACAGGGGAAAGACATGTATCTCTTTTCACAGGTGATCTTACTTTTTTGTCACAGGGAAGAGCAACCTTGGGATAGAAAGAATGCCCATATAATTAAAAAAGACTTCTATAGTAACTATCAAGAGCTACATAAATATATATCCATACAGTACACACTAATTTAAGTGCAATTGCAGATATCCATAGAATGAGAAAAGGAATGCAATAGGCTAAAACAATTCTTCTTATATAAAATCCCAAAAATTTCCTGCTGGGACCCCGAGCGCAACAATCTTTACAGTCTTTTCCAGCAATGACTGTAGGGCAACAATATTGACTCACATTCCATGGGATATTTTGAGACTACAAGCATTAAACTTTTTGCTCCAGTAAATGGAGTACTATTTGTTAACTACTTTGTGTAGTATGAACACCAAATTCAAGTGTCTAGAATATTTCAGTGGATGACATCTATACTCACGAGAGCCACTGAATTATTGTGCTTTAGTCAGAGAGGTGGTGAAAGCCATTTTGATTTAAATGTGTTTTCTTAAGCCAATGCATTCAGCTGGATGTTATCGCCCCTTGTGTGTTCTGTCTTCCAGGCAACAGCAGAGGTCAAGCCTTGAGCTGGTAATTGGAGGATATCAGCCTCTGGAAAAGCCAAAGAGGTTGACAATGCAAGAATAGTCTTCTATGGTGCCTTTAAGGTGAAATAAGACAAAAACAAAAACTGGAGATATTACTTTCTGGTGACCTTCCAAAGCTACGTTACACTTCCTAAACAGAAGACAGTATCCTCTGGTGGAAGCACATCATCTGGCCATCCTCAGCTCTATCATTACGGGATTTCTAGTGTCTAGTGGAATCTAGACATGAAGACAGTTGTCTTCTTAGGGCTGGCATTCATTGTGTGGTCTGTCCCTTTGACTGCAATGGCCCAGGGCCTCATTCGACGGAATTCAGGGGTCCAGGTGGGCAGAGGGCAGGCAGTGTATGTGACAGACAAGGAGCTGCAGTTCAACATCCCCAAACATCTGGACACCTGCAAGGTGGAGGTTGTGCTGAATGAGCCAATAACCCAGAGAGCTGGGAGGCTGACTCCTCAGGTGAGTCTTCATTACCAATATTGCTAATACTGTACTTCAGGAGCAGTGTTAATACTAAAACACCCAAACACACAATATTCATTCCAAGGTAGCTTGGGGCCTGAAAAGGTTGTTCTCTGGTTTTCGGGTCTTTGAAAATTGCTCCCCCCACCAAGTCTAATGAGTGAAAATTAACACTTTATTGAGCTCTAGAAGGCTGTCCTTAAGCTTACTTCACCTTATACCTGTTTAAGGCACAGCAATAAGATACAGCATATTAAAAGTACAGTCACTCCAAGCAGTGAAACGTAGGTTCTTGCATGACCACTTAGACCATTATGATTTTACTATGTGATTTCCAGCATTTTACTGATTGTGCCTTTAAAATTTCCTGACGATATAATTCTACAAATTTAAAGCTTCAGATCTGCCGTGAATCAGCAAAGAGCTCTTTTTTCCCCACCGCTGAAATATAATGGAAAGACATGACATTGATATGGAGTGAGTAAAAAGGGTAGCATGAAGAGTAGCATTTCAACTGAAGTGAAAAGTTTGAAAGTATGAATGCTGCAGCTAAGTGTTTAACCATCCTATTCTTTATTATGTCCAAACTTTATTCTTTATTATTAGCATTAGTATGCTTCAAAATATGGTGGTTTCATTTCTTGCTGGGAGTGAAATCTTCCCTGCCAGAATAATGCATTCTGTAAGTAATATTTGACTTGAGATAACAGGAAAAGCAGTTTCAGATTAACTGGATGGTAGATAGGGTGACATTGTGGCGCATTGGTTAACTTTGCTGCTTCACAGTTCTACGGCCCTGGGTTCAGTTCAGTTAACCCTGCAGCTCACAACTGGCAACCCACTGAAGCTCAACAGCTGTGGATGGGAGACCTCCTGGAAAAGCTAAGGTTGCTGCTGGAAGAGGTGTTAGTGGGGCCAGCAGGAGGTGCTCACCCTGCAGTCTATGTGGGTCCTAATGCCCCAGTGGTGATGGGGACACTATACTGTAAAATGAAGCTTTACAGCACTTCAGATGGGATGTAAAACCGAGGTCCAGACTCTTTGTGGTCATAAAAAATTCCAGGGCATTTCTAGAAAAGAGTAGGTTTACTCCAGTGTCCTGGCCAAATTTCACATTGGCCTTTACCAATCATGGCATCCTAATAATCCCCATCTATGAATTGGCTTCATCACACTGTTCTCCTCCCCACTGATAGCAGATGTGTGGTGAGAACACTGTGCACACTATTACTGCACATTGGTGGTGGTGGAGGGGAGTCCCCATTACCTGTAAAGCACTTTGAATGGAGTGTCCAGAAAAGTGCTACAGTATATAAGTGTAAGGAATTATTATTGTCATGTCATTTGCCAAACCGCTTACATATACAGTGTCGCGGGAAGCCGGAGCCTACCCGGCAAGCAACTAGTGCAAGGCAGGGTACCTGCTGGATGGGGTGCCAGTCCATCACAGGGCAAGGAATTACTATTATTCTCATTATGTTTGAGATCTCCCCCCCCCCCAAGATTTTCAATAATATTCAAATCTGGGGACTGTGAAGGTAATTCAAAAAAACTTTAATCTTTTGTAAGTACGTCATGGTTGATTTTGAGATATGCTTTGGATCATTGTCTTGCTGAATTATCCAACCTCTTTTCAATTTCTTCACTGACTCTGAGACATTAGCTTCTAGGATAGGTTCATATTAATTGAATCCATTATTTTTTCCACCCACACAATATTTCCTGTGCCATTGGCTGCCACACAATCCTGAAGCATAATAGATCCATCCCTGTGTGTAACTGTTGGCAAGGTGTACTGTATATCTTCTTCAAACGCTTCACCTGTTTTTCTTTAAATGTATATTTAACGTAGATAATCGTGGTTGTGGCCAAAAAGTTTGATTTTTGTTTCATCAGTCCACAGCACTTTGCTGCAAAAGTTTCTGTCTTATCGAAATATTGTTTTGCATACTTTAGATATCGCCTTTTGTTATGAAGTTGTACGAAAGATTTCCTTTTGACAGCTCTTCCATGCAAATCATTTTTGTGTAAGCAACACTGCATTGTGGGCCTATGGACCACTACTCTGGTGTCAGCTTAGCCTTTCTGCAGGTCCTTTGCAGTGATATACTGTACAGTAATGGTTCTGCTTTGCATATCTGATCAGTTTACGAGTAGTTCTACCACAGAAGGGGTCTACCAGATCTTGCTTTGACATCAACCGTTGCCCTTAACTTCTATTTCTTGATTATGTTTCGGAAATTCCAAGCTAAAAGTATTTAAATATCTTTTTATAGCCTTCCTTTGCTTTGTAAGGCTCAATTATTTTTATTTTCAATCAGCTGCTTAGAGGAGCCTATGGTTGTTGAGAGTAGGCACAACATCCTGAGAGGTTAGGAGGGTCAGTGTATGTATTCAACTATGTATTGTCTACATCTGGCTTAATTTAAAGCCTAACAAGTCAATCGATTATTTTTTTACAATCTGTTAAATTAGAAAAATAAATAGTACTTGTGCATTTAAATGTGCAGAAATATGTCATGTTTACGTTTGTGCTCTGCAGAGGTCGTGTTAACTTCTTCTCGCTTATAGGTTCTGTGAAACGTGCAATTTGACCAGAGGTGCCCAAACGCTTGTATACTGTAGAACTGCATTCTCCTTTGTGCCTGTTGCTTGCTATGATAGATCCTGGCTCCCCCATGTCCCGGAATTGGATTAAGCAGTACAAAAAAGGATCGTAGATAAAACATGACAATTTGTTATGAGGCATTCAAAGCAATGCATTGATTGCTAGGATTTACTTGTTGCGTTTCATTTCCTTCTCCACTGGCCACCTGTCTTACTATGCTGCCTGTTAGGTGTTTGACTGCCATTTCTTACCCAATGAAGTGCGGTACATCCACAATGGCTCTCCGCTGCTGGAGGAGGACAGCGTCATGTTACGAGTCTACAGGTGGGTCACGTCTCTATTTACGTTATGATGTCTGTATTCAGGGTGCACAAGGTTAAAAAAAATAAATCTTTTCTGATTGAATGAACACAGTTTCAGACTAGAATAGTCAGGTAATCTGCATAGTGCTAGCGGGAGTTTGAGTAACTGGACCTGTTTTTCATGTCCAAGGTTTGCTGAGTCAGAGACCACCATGGACTCATTTCTGTTGAAGGTGAGAGTGGTTGAACCCAATAGCAGTCTCATCCAGCTTGGAAAGTTTCCTTTGGAAGTACCTGAATTCTACGGCGTGTCGAACCCCTTGGACAGTCAGGTGGCAACCTTCCGGCACGTTCCGGATACCATCTGCACCGTGAGGTTAATAACGTCTGAGACCAATGTTCCAGCTCAGGGACAGCTCGTCACTGAGGATTCAGCCAAGACAAGCAAAGAGGATGTGGTATCACCTTCTGGTCCGAGCCAGGCACTCAGGAGAGGTGAGACGTATCTATTATGCTGAACCTAGATTTGCTTGGTTTAAAGGCATTCTTGTGTAGCATCACTTCTTTATTATTTTAGTATACAGGTGAAAAATCTGAGTAATTTTATCAGCTAGATAGCTGACGTGACTGCAAGCCTCTAATTTCAAGAAGGTTATAGTTAGTTCTGCTTTGTGTATATCCCTACATTTAAAAAAGTAACATGTGCTGCTCTTCCTGAACTTTTTGGACTTACAAACATAGTCAGTGAGAAAACAGTCTTGTGCAGTCAAATACATATTTATACAACCTTGAACCACTGCTATTAAGTTAAAATTTATTTTCTTTCAAGGGTGGCCATTCTTTGCTGAAATGTAACTACATACATTTCTAATGAAAATACACTCCCCTTGTTTGCAGTGACAGCTGCAGATGCTTTTGCAAATGGTTCATATTTTCATTACAGTACATAGCTGCAGTGACAAAATAATCCTGTGTCTTCACTGTTTCCATCTTTTAAACTAGGCTTTATGCCAATGTTTGAACAACTATGTCCATGTTTCATGAAAAAATCATAAAAAATGTTTCCAATGAAAATGGTCTGTCTGTTTTGTTATTACAGCAGAAATAAATCAAGCACTTTAACAAAATTTCAAAACCCTCAAGGCATTGATAAAGTCATCTCAGTTAAAATTCCTCAGAATGAACATTGAAATGCAGAAGGCACAATGGTACAAGTTACCCAACCATGTTGTTGAAGCCAATACCACTGCTTCTTCGAAGAACTGACTGGACAAAATCCTTGGATTCATTAACTGCTAACTACCAAACAAGCTACAGTAGATGGGCCGAATAACCTCCTTACATCTGTAATTGTTCTTATGTTCTTACTTTTGACCCCTACATCCACCCATTATGAGAGTATACAGCTTATCTTGTGAGGGTCCAGGCAAGATGGAAATTTCTAATAGCACACAATGCAAGGCTGAACTGAGAGCACATAGCTGCTCTCCTCTGGATTGGACACCAATGTATCACAGGGCCATGGTGCAGGACAGCACGTTTGTGGAAAGAACCTGTAGCACCCCTCAAAAACATTAAAACTCCACACTGACAAAGGCCTGCGTTGGGAATCAAACCTGGGTCCCTGCAGCCTGTGAGGTGGTTGAGGTGCAACTCATTCCAACACACCAGTATCCCAAAGAAAACCCCTATTGTGTTTTCCATGGTATAAAGAGATTTGGTGTGAAACTGTAATTAAATTATGCTTTAATAAGGATTAGTGTTGTGCTTTTGAGGATTCATTCAACCTTCTTTTCTCCTTTCTACCTCCACTGGATTTGTCTTATACCTACCAAAAGCCTACCTGTCTTCTGTTTCTGTGGATCGTGGTCTGCCTCCCATAATGTTTCATTTGCAGTTCACATGCAGAAGTGGAATACTAGCTAAATATTGTATTTCTTTCTTGAGGGTCAGAATAACTCGCTTGCTGAGCACTATTTTCATTCAGGTTCTCAGACTCAAGAAACAGTAGATCATTGCCCAGTATTTCAGCTGCAGATTTTTTCCAATTTCATAATGTCTCCTGTGTGCCAGTCAGTTGCCTAAACAGTGTTTACCTGTCAGATGGAAACGAATTGAGCATTCTATTAGAGAAGACTAATTTAAGTTTAATGAAGAGTAACAGAGATAAAGTGCCAGCAAAATATGTTGACTATTATAAATGTCTTTTCTAATAGACATTAAGCCTTTGCATAAAACTGCTGCATTGCTTTCTTTGTAGGATTTTCTTTGCAGGATTGGCTGCAATTTTCAAGTTTCAGGTTCCAAAAAAAAGCACCAGTGACTACATTTTAAATGTGTATTTGATTTTTAAGGGAGAAAGAGTGATGGTTTTCATACTGTGCTTTTGATCACCCTTCACATGAAATAAATGTCTCTAACAATACTGGTGACATGATGCAATATACAGTATGTAGATTCTGTACAAATATATAGTAAAACCACTGATGGGATTTAGATGTTTTTACTTAACAGAACACACATAACCATTAAAAAAGGGCTGAACGTAGAAAAAGCAGGGAGTCAAAATGTGTTCACCTGTTCTACATATGTATTCATATTCTCTTTGTGTGGCAAGGAAATATTATAATTGGACCAGCTAATGATGGATCAATTTTAAAGGTTTGGTAATGCTTTCATGTGGTTACATTCTTTTAATGTGGTTGGACTTGGAAGTCTTCCCAGTGAAATTGTTTCAGTTCTCTTTGATATTTACATTGAACCCAAGATCAAAAAGACTGAAATTTGGTTGCACAGTACACATGTTGTAGCTGCTGTGGAACCATGACAAAACCTATGGGATTTCTTTATCAGTATTTCCTTGATTTATTTTTCATTCTATTTTACTAGTTAAACAGTTTTACTGCTGCTCTCTCTTGATTTGACAGACTTTCTGTGGTCTCACTCTTGTGTGATTTAATGGCTTAACTGTCCTCTAAACAAATGTTTGTCCTATAAACAAACTGAGCACTTATTTGAAACTAGTTGGATGTGTTATAAAGACATTCACATGTGGATAACCACAAGTTAATTACAGTATCCTGAAATACTATTAAGTCCTGTGAATCTTGTGTCTCATAGATTTTTCTCCTGGGTTCTAGTCTGACCTACAGTATGATGCCAGTTCACCAGGTTTCCTTCTGCCACTCAGACATACTGTATAGGTTAACTGGAGTCTATAAATGTCTATAAATTGCCCTTGTGTATGCACCTGCCCTGTGTTAGAGTGCTCTTCTTTACAGGGTGTAGTCAAAGCTTTTACTTCCTGGATAGGCTCTGGGTTGCTTCAGCTCTCAGCAGGAATAAGCAGGTTTCTGATAATGAATAGCAAGATAAAGTATTACTATTGTGGCTATGAATCATAGAAAAGCCACAAAACTGCACTGAAAAATATAACAATCTTCCATACATCTGTTTTTCATCTTTCCTTCCCAAAACACTTGTTGCTGTAGGTAGACAGACAGGACTGCTCTGCCCTGGCAACAAAGCCTGTCTGCCTGGCATCAAGGAAGTGCGTTTTCTGAAGGCCAACTGTGAAGACTTCCTGCAAATGGGATTGAAGTACCAGCACCTAAATCCACCATCTCCAGAAGTTGACTACATCCCTCTCCGTGTGGAGCTCCGAGACCAAGCCACCAGGGCCCTGCTGGAGGTAAAGATGGGAGTCCTGTGAATCTGCCTGTTTGACCTATGCACAGTTTACTAGCACTCTTGTCACAGGTGGAGCAGGGCTATTTAAGATCTGATCTGGCAGTGAAATGGGCTCCGTTATAGAATTTACAAAGAGCCTCCCAAGTCTCTAGTCCTCTAGCTCCCATCCACTTCTCTGTGGATTTCTGACCTCACTTTGTCTCTGCTTTGTTCCCAGACTTCCCCCATCCTCGTTACATTCTTCTGTGTTTACTCAGCTTTTGACCCTGCTTGTTCGCCTATGACTATGCCTTTGGATTCTCCCTGTGTTTCACTACAGTGTCTCCCCGGGACCATGAACCTTTCTTCATTAAGCTAGAACTCTGGACTGTGTTTTGCGTGTTCCTCTTGTCTGCTGTGCAGACTATTCTGCCTGTCCCCCTTGCCCGCTTTTGGATTTCATCTCATGACTCTCTGACTTCACTCCTACATAAGCAGCATAATATCAGGGCATTATGCTTCCTCACTTGCAAGTGTCTTTTTCACATCTCTGCTCTTGCAGTTGCTCACTGGCTTATCCTTCATTACCGGGAGGGGCAGGGGACAGATTCTCTCAGCCCCTTCCTTGTGGACAGGTCGTTGTTCTCCTCAGCCAAGTGAGTTACTGCTTTTAAAGCTCACTAATCTGAATCACGCCACTTTTCCTTCTTACTTAGGGTTTGACTGAATTATCAAACTGGAAATTCACCGTCTTAAAATGCAGTGCTTACACAACTAATGCATCTCCTGGTTTTCCTTTTTTTGACATGGCCAGACAGAGAGTTTTTGGATCCCAGTGGTGATCCGGGGTGCCATGCAGAACCAGCCTCCCCGAGCGGCCTTCATGTCCACATTCATCCTGGAGGTTGACCAGTTCATTCTCACTCCCATGACCACCGCCGCGCTGGATGCAGAGGATGACGAAACTCCGCAGTCCAGCCTGGTCTTCAATGTCACCAAGCCTCCTGCTGAAGGTTACATCACCCACCTCGATGATCACACCAAGCCCGTGACCTCCTTCAGCTGGCCAGACCTGAATGAGATGAAGATCGCCTACCAGCCACCCAACAGCAGTCACACAGACCGGAGGAACTACGAGGTAGAGTGGTATGAAGTGGGAGACCAAATGCATCAATCAAACCACTTAAGACAGTGGGGGTATTTACAACATCCTTAATGAACATGTACTGTAATAGGAAAACTGAGGGGAAATTTAAAATGACATTTTATACATATTTGACCAAAGATGTTTGTAAGCTTTTCAATTTGTGTAGAGTGACCTACAGTAAATGAAAGGAGAGATTGGTGTAGGTTTAATCTTGAGACAGAATACTGGAATAGCACGTTCTTTATCAGTGTACAAGCAATACATACTGAAACTGTGTAGCAGTGAGTCACACTAGAATAGACAACTCTGGATTTATAACCAAAGGGTTGTGGGCTCAAGCCTTGGTTTGATGAATTACCTAATTATCCCTAAATATTTTATATAAATATACTTTAATAACTGAAGAACACCCAAAGTATTTCCCTTGCTTAGAGGAAAATAATCACAGTGGTTGTTGTACTATTATCGCAACATCTGGGATCTGGAATATGGAGATGATAATACTGTACCTTACATCGTGGTGGAAAAAGGGGATTTAAACCCCTTAACTGCAGTCAGTCAGGGAAGGAAAGGAAAGAGTTGTATTTGAACTTGTCATAAATTACCTGTAGACGGAAGAGTTAAACCCAAACAGTGGTGAACTGTGAATTGTGATTTGTGAATTACCTTTGCAGCATTCTTGAAACCAACTTTTTCTTGTTCATTTTTGTTGCCAATTTTTTTGAACAAAAGGGTATCCTTGAAGCAATTTTTTCCTTTGAAAACTTTTGTTCTCCCAAATTTTCAAAATTTTTTAAATAACGTATTATTTCGATTACAGTTTTTCAGAATCCATTTTTTGCGGGTGTTCCTTGTCCAGTTGGGGCACTTTTTTTGTGACACTGCCCCCCTCAACCTTTGTTGGAGGACAACACCCTGACACTTGAGTGGGACAATGTTGTGCAGTACCCTTGAGCAAATTACTTCAATAATATAAACAATGGCATAAATGAATGGTGATTTTGATGATCGTTTCAGACAAACATATTAATAACTATAACAACACATCAGGTGATGAACAGTTATTACGAAAAGATTCATTGAGAGGAAGGGTCCAGGTGAAAAAAAACATCTAATAAAACCTTTAATAAGGCTCTTTCATATGAAGTCTGACCTTTCAGTCCATTGCGATTAAAATAAAAAACATGACAAATCAATTCCTCATCAAAAATGACATAAAGTGACTAAAGTAAGATCACTGAAATTAATTTTATTTATTTAAGCAGTTACCAAAGGGTGTTTTTTTATCAAATATTAAGGGCACTGAGCAGTTCACTATCTTTAAAAACTGAACACCCTGCCTTTATTGTGCTCTCTGGGCACAGGCTGGCAGCTTGACCAACACCTTTCTGCACTTTTTTTACAGGTTGAGTTTGAGGCCATTGATGGTTTCTTCACAAGGAGCCCTTCAATCATGGTTCACTTCTCGCTTCGAGTAGCAGAGACCAATGCCCCACGAGTCTCCTGGAATATGGGTACTGTAAATCACATGATCAAATGACAGGCACTTGGGTTCTATGACCACATAGACATAATTATTTGTACTACTCCCCCTTGCAAGTACTATACTGTAAGACCCTTTTTAATGGTACTAGCTGTTTGAACTATAATGGCAAAGGTTGAGGTGCTATTGCAATATAACGTGACGTACTGTACACATGCCTCTTCAGCTTCCTGACAGTTCTCTGCACTGTGGTGTTTTGCCACCTTTCCATAAAAACGCATAGTTTTTAGTTTATAGTGTAATTAGATATAAAGGCTTAAGAGTATATACTGAGCTCCTCTTTAAAACCTAATGTTCTCAAAGACTTATCCCACAATTCTTTAAAACGTTCCCACCTTTCTTTAAATAGCTGCATTGCCATATGTGTCATTTATTCAAGGTCCAGAGTTGAAACACATTTTGTGGAAGTGACACCAGTTATGAAAATAAATGTAGTATTGATATGCTCTAATAGCTTTTCCTGTTTGATACGGATCTCACTTCATTTCCTTTTCTCATCTTTGTACTATTCAATTGCACTGTTTTCTTCACACTATGAACCCCACTCTGCAAGCAGAAGGGGAAAGTTCTCACTGACAGCAACACAAGCTCACAGCTTCCTGGTGAGGCCCTGGGGTCACTGTAACATGCCCAGAGAAATCCAGTTAAACTGTCACTGTTGGCTGATCACGTAGTCCTGATATGAAGCAGGAGTCTCTTAACTATAGATCCCAATGTGTACTCTTACTAGCAGTCATTACCATTTAAACTCCTAGTGTGTTCAAGGAAGTTATTAACTGAAGTTCAGGATAAATAACCAGAAGTTAATCTCACCTAATCACCATCATTATGAAACTAGCTACTGCATATATACTGAACTCAAATGCCTCCCTTCGCATTCGTCTCAAGCATTACTCCTCCATCTTCACCTTGCAGCTACCGCTTGGTTCACTCAGTCTGAATGGGGTTTGAGTCTCCCCCGTCTGTGGCCAGGAAGCTACCCATTAACCAACCGAGTTAAGCCTATCTAACCAAATATTCCAAACATTCACAAAGCATTCAATTCTAGGATGTTGTTGGAGTTGTTTAGAACCCCAGTTCTGAAGTGCAGGAGGATTTAACCCCTTACAAGAACAAAAAAAACAAGTTATTTGTTTTATTTTTAAGCTGGTCATAACATCAGGCAGCAGAATAATCATTTATATCTCATATGAAACTATTGTATGGGATACACAAAGAAAGCTGCCTGTTATAGGCTCAGTACATTAAAATGTTTTGAGTCTCGTCAATGTTTTGTCAGTTTCTTGATGTAATAATTAACAAATGAAGTGAAGCTCTTTTAATTTCTCCAGGGCTGGATTTGTTAGAGGGTCAGTCGAGGCCAATTACCTGGGAGAACTTGCAAATTGTGGACAATGACAACATTAATGCTGTCTATCTGGTGGCTGTGGATGGACCTCTACATGGGCGCCTCAGTGTACGAGGTAAGGGGAGATCCTTTGTTGAGAGCTCTTTGTTAAACAGATTTAGAACTCTTTGTACTCTCCAGGTTGGGATTTGATTCCTCAAGCTCTCCTACTCTGCAATTATGTGAACGGGAAAGTTATGTTTTAGGAGTTTTGTAGTCAGAATAAATTGGTCTCTTTGAGGTGTCATTCTTCACCTTTACTCCAAGAATCTTTGACCAAAACTTCATACAGACCTGTTACTGTTAAAGAGTGATAAAGATACTTCACTCTCACCTGAAAACATGTGATGTGCTAGCAGCCTAATGATGTGTCCTTGTAAGCAATATCTGTTATGCAGCTATAATACTGTACGTTTTAAAGTGTCTGTTGACTGTAAATGTGTGTAGATATACACATCCCATAGGCCTCTCTTAGAGGCACAGATCTCTGCTCCATGCACTATGCAGGGTGTGTTACCCCTGTGTTAGTGTCAGTACAAAACAGAGATTTTAATCGTGAAAAACTGACCTCTAAACTTTCAGATGAGGTAAGGTACTGTATAGTACAGCTACTTAAATTATGACAACTATGAGAGGCATACAAAGAACATTTTGCAACAACCCCTGTTGTTGCTTCTTCTGAATTTTGGCAGTGACCTTGACCTGCAAGCATGTGTCGGGGTATCTGCATGAGTGTTTTGACTTGCTTGCCATCAGTTATGTCTGCAGTTTATGAAACATATGCAAGGTGGCTGCGTATGTTTACTAATCAGGTGTAAAACATGTTGTCAGTGGTCTGCCAGGGGCCCTTTGCAAGACATTTTTTGGATGACGTCTGTTGTTCCACATCAGTGCACACCGCAGCCATGCTTTGTTTACAAAGCCCCTGAATGAAACAGATTGTTAAGACTTATGCCATTTGCACATGGGAAGATGCAAGATGTGCACTTTTTTTTTAGACCTGAGATGCTGAGAGACAAGGGGGTATTCTCATGTGGTTGATTGACAATGTTTCTTTTTTTTTTACTTGAAGTTACGTTTCTCATTTTGACAGTAAAATATCGTTTAATGCTGTCTGGAACATTTCACCAACATGAGAAGAATACGTGATCTAAATTGTTCTATTATACAAAGTACAGCCTGATGCGGAGTTTAAGAAAGACGTACTGATACATTCATTTTATTTATTATTAAAAAAAGCTTTGGTTAAATACAGGCTCTATTATTAAAAAACTTTAATGGTTAAATACAGAAAAATAACTCTGCCATTTTTTTAACTGACCATAAATATTCAATTCTTTGCTCAGAAAACTTTTTTTAAGGATATGATAGCATTTAAATCATTTTAAAACTATTGTGTGAATATTTTCTATTTTGTTCAGCTGAACAAATTCTAACAAATACACACAAACAGAAGAATAAAAATAGAAAGAGAAATAAGGAAGAGGATCGCAAGGGAGGAGAAAGCTAGGAAAGCAGATTCTGTAAAAGAAAGATCAAACAAAAGATCTGTCCTAGTAGTTTGTCCTAGTAGTTTGCAATACCCCCTGTTTGCAGTAGTACAATGTACTAAGTTGTGGCGATTTTTCATCTTAATGTGTTGTAAAGTTTACAAGCTCTTATTATTTTCCTGAGTAGGTGTCCTCAAGCCTTCCACCCCAAATCATGTTTTACATCTAGTACGACCATCGTCAGTATGTTCTTCAATGCCAGATCCATTGGCACCACATTTCATTTAACTGCTCATTATGTTTTTCAAACTTGCTGGCATGTGACCGCATCAAAATATTTCAGTTTTGGCTTCAAGGAGCTTTTCTCTTAAAAAGACACCTGTGTGCTTATATCCTGGACAGATGAGGCCTGGCTACAAACACACTCAAGAGAACTTCAGTCAGACTGGGAATTGATACTCAGGCCCTGTAATGTTGAGACTCCTATGTTATGCGACTCTCCACTAGATGGTCCAATGCCTTTAGCCAAATGGAAATCTGTTGTTCCCTCCATAAAATGTCCTCTGAGTTGGGTACCTGCACTTAGCATATTTTGGGCCTGATGCCCATAGCCACCTTTGGGCCCAATTACCAAGTTTTCCATGGACTTGTAACTGTTTCCCTTGGTAAAGTTACTAATTAGGTTTACTGTGAGACCATTCATCTCTCAAGCTGTCTGATGACCTTAACCTTCTGTCTCCCTGGCACACAGTGGGGCCCACTCTCATATTGGGCTGAAATTCACTAGCTTGGGAAAGAGTCCATTACACCAATTGGGAGGACAGACTGGGGATAGTTAGCTGTTGCCTGTAGGCTACCACAAAACTTTTGTGTTTTGTTTCCAGCACAATTCCACAATTCAATTTCAAAAGCAAGTGCCCACTACATACAAAGCAATCTAGTTAATGCAGGTTTGACTGAGAATACAAAAAGACAGGATGCCATTTTTGAAACAAGTCTAACTGAGCAAATTCCATATTAATAAAACTGATATATAAAATGTTTTCTCTAATATCAATAGCTTTGCTGCTGTGCAGTACGATGTCTTAATTGATGTGCTAATTTAAACATACCTTAATCTCTACATTTAACATCACACCAGTAAAAATGTGTTTTTGCAACATAAATTATTTGAAAATGCCTCTTATATGAAAATTGCATTCAATTTAATAACTTTGTCATACAATTCTTGGAAGTCTGTTAATGGGATTACTGTATATTTCTTGGAATATACATTCTGTATGATCAGCCAAAAAAGAATGACATAATGGACAGAAAATGTACAACACTCCTAATAATATCTAATAAATACATTTCTGTGGAGGCCTTATGCATTTCACCTTAGTATTTTTCTATTTTGTCTTTTTATTTTTTTTTGTTAACACAGTTAGCTCTAATGAAGAATGTCTAGTGTTTTCCAGCTTTTAACAAAATTAACATAACAACATTCCAGCCGAACATACAAAATTAAATAAAAAATGCAGAATTAAATATGGTCTTCCATTTGACATCATTGATTTTCTTAACACAGTTTTGTCAATTACATTTTGTGCAAATCAGATTAATTCTTTCTGTATTTTTGGCAATTTTCTTTTCAGTGATTTGAACACAGAATTACTTCATTACTGTTCAAGCAATGTGTGTTTCCCCCTTTCACTGAAGTCTATGAAGCAGATGTGTTGACAGGAGTACACTGTTATGCTACCAAGACCTCTCAATCCTGATCCTGTGTAGTTGCCTCTCCCCTTATCCATTCTAGCTGAGCACTTAATTACTTAGGTAAATTGGACCTTGATTGAAATATTTGATCAATTATTTGAACCACTTGTTGAATACAGCCTTCAGTTTAATAAAAACTGTATTATGTGAAATCCTAGCAAATAATTTAAAAGGCAGGACCCCATTCAGTCTGTCCTCAGATTATTTAGAAAGTGTTGCTCCTCTACAGCTGTTTAGGCTGCCCTTAGAAAGTTATCACCCTTACTCAGACACAGGTGCAAGTCACTCTTAATGGTATAATAAAATGGTAACTAAATTCTGTATGGGCCCAGTTATTTATTTTCAGGGTGCCTTTTCCTGAAATTACAGCAATTTATAACTATAAAGATTGAAACCAGGAACTGATGATAATAATTTTGAGCCAATTCAGAGACTTAAATCACTTCTGCACAGAAGAGAAAGCAGTGAAAGAAAGAATAGTGTATACAACAGAAGTAAATAATTGTAATGTAATATAACAGAAGAGTATACTGTATGGTATTGAGTGTCAGCATGTGTAAGAGACAGGCAGAGAACGTGAGTTCACAGAACTGACAGCACCTTCAGATACAGCAGTGAACAGTTTCATCTCATTCTACAGACTGTTCCAGTCACTGGCACCGGCATATTGAAATGACTTGTGCCAGAAGCAGTGTTAATTTATAGCTTTGACCAATTATATAAATGCTGAAAAGGATGTAAGTTGGCTTTTTCAAGAAAAAAAAAGGTTAATTTAAACATTTCTGTGAAAACGTCTGTAAGAGCTTGGCAGACATGAAATCCCAACATTGAAAGGATCAGGAAATAAGGAACTCTAATACAACTCATCATCCACTGCCAGGTTTTCAGTCCTTCTTCTCTCCTATCAGGAGGAAAAGGGTTCATGTTCAAGGTGCAGGACATCAAGGATGGTGTGGTGAAGTACCACCATTCAGACAGCGACACCACCAAAGACTATATCGTCTTCCGCATCTCTGATGGGCGCCACAGCCTGAGACACAAGTTCCCCATCAACATCCTCCCCAAGGATGACACGCCACCCTTCCTCATCAACAATGTGGCCTTCGAGGTGGAGGAGGGCGGCACCGTGCTGGTAGAAGAGTACATGCTGCTGGCCTCCGACCTCGACTCTAGTGACGACTACATCCTCTACCAACTCACCAGCTTGCCTATGGCAGGAGAGGTCATCAAGAAGCTTTCTCCCCATCAGCCAGGCCAGTACACTGTGCTTTCTAATGACAGTCTTTAGCAACACAGTTAAAGAAAAAATAACTTGGCTCTCAATGTAGGCATTTTCTTGTCTGACACTTTTATTGGAAGTGTCTTACATTTATAAACTCATTCTGCTGGAGCAACATGTTCAAGTCTGACAGCAGTGCCCCTCCTGGGATTCAAGCCCACAACCAAAGACCCTCAATACACTGCAGTTTTTTCATTGCTTTGAACAGTGCCAAAGCCAGTTAGCTGTGACCTGTCTCATTTCCTTTTTTATACACCAATGCAGGAAGTAGTTAGCTAATCTGTGCCTCTGTACAAGGAATGCGTAAAGAACCAGAAGGACACAATCTATTATTTTTAAACTTTTTTGATCAATTTGTGCACTTGCAATTGGTACACTGAAAGGTTGGAAATATTCCTCATCGATACTGAAGGCTAAGAAACTTCATTATGGAAGCATTTGGGATATATGTCAAAGATTCTGATGAATAGAAATAATGTTTGAACAGAAATTTGGCCTATCTCCTGGAAAACATTTTTTCTTGACCGTACAGTTTGTTTGTTTTTTACACACAGGTGTCCCAGTGAAGAGTTTTCTACAAAGAGACCTATTTCAGGGGTACATTTATTACCGACACCTGGGAGAGGAAGTTTTTGAGGACTCCTTTGAGTTCACTCTCTCCGACAGTCATCAGCCCCCCAATCTGTCCCACAAACATGTGAGTTATTTATTTTTTTACTATGGAAAGGTAAATATTTCTCCTTCACAGAATTCCCCATTTTCTTGATCCAAATGTTATTTTTTCCTCAACGACAAGACTGTGGTGATTCACATCTCCCCAGTGAAGGACCAGCTGCCTGTAGAAGTCTCCGGAAGTGTACGCGCAATAACAGTCAAGGAAACCGACATTGCCTACATCACCAAGAGCCACCTGCACTTCAGGGACCTTGAGTCTCCGGACACTGACCTCATGTACTTGGTGACCAAGCCGTGCTTCTCTCCCACCACACCAGGGTATGCTGTGCTTCTTTACCAAGTTTTTTGGGAGTGCCAGTTATGTTTAAAGTTTGAAATTCTTACACAGCTGAGGAAAATAAAGTTAGTGTGCTTTTTGTGTGAGACCTTTTGGTCTGAGTTATATCATTTTGTACTTTTTAACACTGAAGGGATATAAGGTACCTAATTTATCAAAGTCCTCCAATCAGTAGTGTGCACCCTTAAAGTGAAATATCATGGTAAAAGCAGATTAAAGTCTGGTAAAGCACAGATAAGTGCTTATGTAATGGTGAAATCTCCATGATTAGTTCCCTGGTATAGTATCTTCATTCCTTCGACGACTATGATCCTCATGACCTCAGAGAGGATAGAAAGGAGACCCCTCTGGCCCTCACCTTCCTTTAAAAAGCCACAAGGTAACACTAATTCAGAGCCAATTGGAAGAGAGGCACCTCATCACTACAAGACTGAAGCCAGAGAGGGTGCCGTGTTTGATGAGAGCCAAAAGAGCCCTGACCGATTATTGCTCTCCTACGTCAGCTATGCTCAGCCAGTTGTGTACAACAGCCTGGCTTGCAACATGAACCAGACACAGACCCACAACACTTGGATTGGAGCACTCTGCCTAAACTCAGGAGTCTGCCTTTGCCATTTGAGTCATTTGTGAGGCACAGAAGCACTCTTTACACAAAGAGTTGTGGGATCTGGAAAAGGCTTCCCAGCCACATAGTTGAAGCCCAAACTCCAGGCTTCTTCAAAAAACAGCTGGATACAATTTTCAGATTGATTTACATTTGCAAGATGGGTCCAATGACCAAGTGTCATATGTGTCAAAACACTTATTGTTTTAAAAATCCTGTGGAAAATCTCCAGAAGGGTCTTTTATCACCTTTGAAAAAAGTAGGGTTTTGAATATATTCCATTTTGTTTCTGACACCATCATTGTCACGGACTTCCAAAGGGACTAACCATAGGGAGCAGGAGAGCAGAAAAAGACCCATATGCGTAGCGGCGAGACGGGAAAAAGGCCCGGGCTCATTAGTGCAAAGAGTTCAGGAATGCCGTATAGAAACCTATGCCCTCAGGGAGCGGACATGGGGTGCCCTGGTGCTAGGCGGGTCTCAGGACATTCGAACATCAATGCTGAGCGAGGACAGAGTGCAAGACCCGGAAATATATAGCCCAAGGGAAAGAGAGGGACAGGAAGGACAGCAGGCTGGCAACTAGGGACAGGACAGAGAAGGAGCGCCCTCTGGCTGCAGAGGGCGTGACAATCATAGTAGAAAGAATGAGATCTGAATTGACTTTCTTTCGTGTTGCAGCTTCCATGATGCAGGCAGACTGTTCTATACAGACAGCATGAACAAAATGAAGAAGTCTGTTCCGGTGCTGAAATCTTTCACTCAGGTACTGTCCACAAAAGATTGTTAGTATTCATTAGTAGTTATTTTTAGCTTATTGGGACATTTGAACATCAGTGATAGCTCTCCACATTTAAAGAACAAGTAAAGGTTTATTCCATGCTGAACAGAGAAGAAAAACAGCAGCCTACACATGCTGACGCAGATACCTACTTGAACTACTTCTCTCCACGTTTATGCTATGATCATGACAAGATCATGCTCCACATTTCCACTTCCTGTCGAGTGGTAACTAATATTTCTAAAGCAGGGTTTTCCCACTCCAGTGTCCTGGGGCTGAGCTTGACAGGTTCTTTAGCTCTCTTTAAATCATCGGTCGCTTAAAGCTGGGTTTAATTGATCCAGTTAAACCTTCATCATTCCAGTTTAACTTTTATTTGCAAGTGTAACATGTCATGTCATTTGCCAAAGCGCTTTATGCCATACAGTGTCGCAGGGAAGCCTGAGCCTACCCGGTAGGCAATGAGCGCAGGGCAGGGTACACGCAGGACGGGGCACCAGTCCATCGCAGGGCAAGTGCAAGCCAATCATACATGGGGACAATTTGGAGACCACAGTAAAGGCCAAGGGGGGAAATTTGTCTTGGACACTGGGAAAACTCCCTTCTCTTATCAAGAAATGTCCAGGGATCTTTAATGACCACTGAGGATCTTGGTTTAACATCTCATCCGAAAGACTGCACCTACTAAAGTATAGTGTCCCTGGCACTATACCGGGGCATTAGGACCCACACAGACCACAGGGGAGGCGTCCCCCACTGGTCCCACTAACACCACTTCCAGTAGCTACCATAGCTTCCCAGGAGGTCTCCCATCCAGGTACTGACCGGGTGCAACCCTACTTCAGTGGGTAGCCAGTTGAGAGCTGCAGGGTGATGTGTCTGCTGGCTAAGTGTAACATGACCCACTAAAAATTGAAAACATGGAAAACCTGCAGGACTGGGAATTTCCTTCAAGATTGAGAACTTATCCTCAGTTGTACTTTCTTTTCATTTGATGGTAGGATGACCTGCTTCTTTAGAGCTTGATTCCGTCTGCTTTGCTCCTACTGTCCTGTCTCTAGCATGCAGTGAATCACCTGAAGGTGGGCTACATGCCTCCTCTGAGGGACATTGGCACTGAACCTGTCTTCGTGCAGTTTGTCTTCTCTGTGAGTGATGAGCAGGGGGGCTCTCTGACAGGGCTCGTCTTCAACATCACAGTCACACCTGTGGACAACCAGGCACCTGAGGTAACCATAATCATAGTATTAACTCTGAATATATACTGTATGGTGCTTTTCATCCCAAGAGATGCAAGAGGGCACCTGCTTCACTCACTGCTAAAATGCAAAATCCGCCTGGCAGTGACGCATTACAGCAACAATGTGCAAGTAGCCCCACAACACAGAGAAGTCAGATATTACTTCACCAACCGCATAAAAGGGACCCACAGGCATTAGGGTAGTTAGTGAAAAGAAAAATAGTTTTAACACTACCACTCTAACAGTACCACAAGAAGAATGATATATCTTGCAGCAGTGTCTGTAGCCACCATACTTGGGAATTTCATTGAAATGACTTGTTCAGAGGGAACAGTGCCACCTGCAGTTTGACCAACACCACTTACAGCAGCAAACCTGCTTTCCTTAAAGGTGTCCTATCCCAGCATTGCCCAGGCCCAGCCTTGCTTAGCTTCTGAGATCATGTCACATGGTGGTAATACTGCTGATGGAGGGGGCGAGTCACATTTCTCCTACTCTCTACACATTGAAATGCTTGGCATTCAGCTGTGTGATACACTGCCAGCAGCTGCCTGCCAAATCCTCATATTGCATAGAACACAAGAGAATTCAAAGAGCAGGTAGAGGATTTCTGAAGAATATAGCGTAAGAAACATGTCCATATTGCTAGATATGTTTAATCTAAACTTAAATTTAACCTGCTATATAACTGTTTTCCTTTTCATTATATAAAGTTCAAGGAAATGAAATAGGGAACAGCTCTCATCTAAATTAAAAAAAAACATTATTTTTCCACAATTACAAAAAAGAATCTGATAACTAGTCCAAGCTAGGACATTCCTGAAAACTAAGTATTCACAGATGAAGGCACTTTGCAAAGTACTTAGGTGTGAACAAAAATAACTAAAAATGTTTTCTAAAATGTGGCATAATCAAAGTTTAATGTTTTACTGAATTCAAGTGAGAGCAGTGCCTTCATTCTTTCATTTTCTTTCTTTTACTGAAGATTTTTGGGCCTGCACTTCATTCCGATAACTTTACACAACAGATTTACTCTTCTTATCCCCACAACACAGAGAAGTGAGACCTCGTGTCACCACTAGAATTAAAGGGATCCATGGGTAATTGGCTTGCTACCCTTTTGGCACAACAGAAATGCCAGTGACCTCCAGATGCTTGTGAGTGTGCAGTGACATCAGTGAGTGATCTCTCTGACAGTGTGGGTGTGCCAGTGGATATGTCCTTGCTCTCCTGCAAAGGGACTGCAATCATAAATCCAAATTATTAGCAATATGTAATTCCTACTTGAGCATCTAAAAGAACTTGACTGTCAAATCCATTTTTTGGGGGGGAAAAAGGCCCAGTGCATATTATTCTTTTGTCATCCATTATGTGTTTTATTGTTTTAATGCAAGGGGCTTGGCTTATCCATTGGCTGTAACCTTTGACCTCTTCCACAAAAATGCAACAATGATTGCTCCAGCAATGATGAATCTCTAGCTGATGTCTCCTCTTTAGAGAATGGACCTAGTTCCCAGATTTGGTCCTGCTGTGTCTCCTAGTTTTTACACCAGCTGAGTTCTTACTCACAGGCTATTAGATTTATTTTGTCTGTTTGAAGCATGTTTGTTTTTAGAAATTTGATTTCAGCTCTTAAAAGATCAAATGGGGTTTGTAATTTATGTCAAACCTTTGAACAAGTATTTTTACTTTCAGAGCTGCCCGAAATGTAATCAAATGGACTTTTGCAGAAGGAAAAAGTTCTCAGTTTGGAGATGTCTCAAACAGCATCTTTCCCGCTTATGTCTGTTCATCATCATTATCATCAATCAACTAGTAAGAGCTGTTTAGTCAGAAATGACGTGTAGTTGCGAATAGGCACCATATACAGTATGGCTGTAAGATGAAGTTGCTGGAAACAGTACCCTTTGAGTTGGGTATTTTTGACACTCAGAACTGACAGAAGCAACAAGTTAAATAAAAATCTAAACAAGAAAGCATATCAATTAAGTCATAAATCAGTACTAGAGATTGAGAGCTCAGCTGGAACATAAAGCAGCAGACATAGTGTTCCTCCAGGAGTAGGGCTGAGAACCACTGTCTTTGTGTCAGTAAAGAAGATTTTTTTGTGGGATCAAGCACACATTAAATGTCATAATTAAACGCAACACAGGGTCTCTAAGGACAAAAGTCTTGATCATGCTGTACTGTTGAAGTAAAGACTCCTGCTTCTGATATGCAGAGGGTTTTGGACTTCTGAAAATCACAGAGTACAGTAAGTGGTATTCCTGATATGAAGTGAGACTGTCTCTTTCTAAATCTCTGGAACTGAAAGATGAAGACTGAAATTAGGAATTAATAAGACAGAATTAATAAGATGTGCAGCTCCCTCTTTAAAGACTGTGAGAGAAGCAGGGCTTCATCATGTCATAGAATCCTGCTGACTCTGTTGCTCCCCATTTTGCTGTTTCTTAGAGCAAAGAATACATGACAGTAGTGTTAAATTCAAGCTTTTTGAATTGTGCATAATGTATGCGTCAATAGCACAATGCAGGAAGGAGGCTTTATTTCTCGGGAATCTGAAAATGTCCTTTAATTATGAATAATGTGCCTGAACGCTGTCCCTTTATTGCAGCTATTCACCAATCGGATGAAGGTGGAGGAGGGTGCAGGCAGTTTCATCACCGAGGACAGCCTGCTGGTGACGGACGTGGACTCTCGGGACAGTGAGCTAAGGGTGCAGCTGAGAGCAGGGCCCTGGCACGGGCGGGTCGATCTGCAGGGGCGGCCCTTGCTGGAGGGGGATTTCTTCACTCTGCAGGACCTGCGAAGCCTCCGACTCCAGTAAGAACCCCTCCTCCGAATTGCTGAGCAGCGGGGATCAGTGTTTGAGTTCCACAGATACACACACACACACTCAGGAGCAAAGTTTCCCTGCTGCAGAAGCCCAGAGCTCGAAACATGAAATAACACTGCAAAGCCATTTTCCCACAAGCCCTTGAAGACACACAGGGAATCTTAATATTCTCATCCTGGGTTAGAGGCAAGAGTTGTTAACAAGGAGGTGCTTTGTATTGGATCATTCATTTACTGTCCGTTTTGAAGGTTCGATTTAGTATATAAAAACTGTGTGAGATTGTATTAACAGAGCCATAAATTAAAGCATTGCACATGGATTGTACACAGGAATACACAATAATGAAGTGTCTTCAGCATGCTTCCCTGCTTTTTGTGGCAGGTACCTTCATGATGACTCTGAAACACTTGAAGATAGGATAGGTTTCACTGTGACTGATGGCTTTAACTCTGCCAATGGGACTCTGGCAGTGCAGGTAAAGTTATAAAACACTAGCTGAAGTACTTGTTATAGTTGTGCAAGAATGTAGATTTGTCAGACAGTAACAAAGAATTCCTGTGAGAGATACAAATATTGACACACTTTCATTGCTAGTATGTATAAGTGGACGTTTCTTCCAATTAAGCCCACTCAAAACGCTGTTCAAAAAGATACAAAGCTAGTACTCAACACAGGACAGCTTTTAGTCAAACATTTCATATAGCTATAACTGGCCTTTTTCAGACATTTTGGTTTAACAATCTGAACAATATGAGCAGGACTCTGGGACATTGTGACCAGGTCAAGGCAACAAACGTTCATAGAAACCTGCTTGTAATAAGCCCTCCAAATTTTAAATGGTTCCAGAGAACAATTATTTTAGAGGTGACAAAATGTTCCAGACTCTTCAGGTGTCCTGTTGATTCTCATGGAGAAACAGGTATTCTGCTGTTACTCTTACAGAATCAGATGTTTTATTCATGCTCCTATGGAATCGGATATCCTATTGTTCTTGTACAGAATCATGTAGATGCCCTTAACAAATGAGCTGTTCTGGTATTCTCACAGATCCTCCCGGTGAACGATGAGCCACCTGCACTGCAAGCTGGACTGATGTCAGAGCTGGAATGTGCAGAAGGGGGCCGGGTGGTGATCACAGCAGAGTACCTGTATGCCACAGATGCTGACAGTGATGATAGCAGGCTCACCTACATGCTGGGTCGCACACCTACCCATGGAGTGGTGAAAAAGGGAGAAGTCACAGTGGACAAGTTCTCACAGTTAGATGTCCTGCAAGGCTTGATTTCCTATGTGCACACAGGTAGCTGTTAACCTTTCCATCCCTCTTGTTTTTCTTAGGTCACAGGACAGATCTTCTTTCAGACTCCCAGACATTCAGTTAATCATAGGCAGCAGCTCTTGTGCATTCAAGCACCCACGATATGTGTGATCATGTTGTTGTTAAAGCAGGGTAAATCCATTTTGCTTTGTTAGTGTGCAGCCGTGGGCTGTGTCTATGGGCCCAGGTGCAGGTGAAGAAGACAAGGCAGACTACAGGATAATATTGAGCAAACAATCCAGGGGAAATCCAGCAAACAAAGTTAAAAGGCAGGCAAGATCAGGAACCAGGAGAGCACTTAGAAAAAGTAATACTTTTGGATTCTTAAAAGTAAGTCCAAGGGAAAACATATCAAGTTTGTAGCCAGCAGTAGATGCTAGAATGCACAAGGAAATCCAGAGGCAAAGTCAAACGAAACAAAGTCAAGAACCGAAAGTAAACTAGAGCAAACACAAAGAATGCCATGATTCTAAACAAAGCTCTAAGACTAAGCAAAGGAACAAACATGAATAATGATCTTCAATATACAGTGTTGAGTGAAGGAAGTAAATCTTAATTACTTGCAGGTGGGATTGATCTTCTACCATATCGTGTAATTATGGTAACTGGTGATTTACCAGGTGTGGTAGTTGAGTTGCATCGGTTGCTGTGGTAACTCTAGAGTGAATCCAGATGGTCCGGTGTGAGTGAGTGTTACAGTTAGTTTTTGCTAATTTTGTTGGCTTTGCATGGTTTGGATAACAGGATGCACTTTATGGGTGCACTCAAAGAGTCACTCAAAGGTTCTTTTATTTACTATACAGTTTCGTTGACAAAATTGCCAAAGCAATCACTGCATTTGTAATTCAGTTTCATGTTTTCAGCCAGTATATTGACTGCAGACCACAGTTCAACACCACAGAAGTCAGTTTTGCAGACAAAACTTCCCTTTACCAGATTTTGTCCGTTAAATCTGGACTCCCCTGGAGTAATGGTTTACTATATTGAAATATTGAAATTAAAGTATTCCAATTTGAACTCTTTGGCTCACTTCAATGTTAGCTTTAAAATTTAACATGTTTCAACTTAAAGTAATCAGATTTTGATTTAACCGATATTTTACTTTTAGGAATCTACAAAATTGTATAACAATTAAGCATAATTGGAGTTTAAGCGCACCTTTAACTTCTAAGACCTCCCAAGTTGATGGGATGATTTAAAATTGTCTTCATAGTAATGGGCACCATCAGCCCCATGAATGTTTTTTACTGCTTTCATCAAGAAGTTTCTGATTAAATTTCAAAGGAAGTAGTGAAATTGCTGTTTCTATTCAGGTGGGGAGATCGGACCCAACTCGCGTTCAGACATCATCACCTTGATTGTGTCCGATGGAGAGGCAGGGACACTGGACAGCTGCTGTCAGGAAGATGCCCGTCCTCCCCCAGTACCTTTGCATGGCTCACTTCCTGTCTATGATCTCAACATCACTGTCCTCCCCGTTAACAACCAGCCCCCTGCAATTGCTGTGGGTACGTTTCCCTCAGCTGATCTTTCTCAAAAGAGCGTTCAAAGTTGGGTGATGTAATTGGTGGAGTACCAGGAGAATCTGTACTAGAACCACTGTGGTTCCTAAGTTCTATGAATGATCTAGATTCCATTTTAGTTAGTGAAACAGTTGTTTGCCAAAATAGGAAGATAAGCAAACCTTGTAGAAATTCATATTCAAAAAGCCAATAAATTTAAAAAAATAAATCTCCATCCTTACTTCATTCTACAGCTGTGCAGAATAAGGTGTATCAATATGAATTAATTAGGGGGCCGATTGGTTCTGCCATGTGAACATTCGCTTACTGTATGTAATATTAATCAGCACAGTTAAATGCCAGAATATATCACAGTTACTGTATGGGATGAGATAGTATTTGAGGATAATCTAAATAAGTGTATTTCAGATATGGAATATTAAAAGACTTAAAGTAAGAAAATGTCCTGTTAGGGGCAACATGGTGGCAATGTGATTAGGGATGTTCTGCTCATCTGCATGTGGTATTTCTCCTGGTGCTCCAATTTCCAACCCAAAATTCAACCTAAATACTAGTAGGTTAATTGACTTCTGGGAAAACTGTCCCTGGTGTTTGTGTGTGTGTGTGTCCTGTGATGGACTTGCATCCTGTCCAAGTTCTATCCTGCCTTGAGCCTGTTGCCTGCTGGGATATGCTCTAGCTCCCCCTTGACCCTTTATTGGATAAAGAACTTAGAAAATGGATGGATGACCTATTCGTGTAAAATTTACTCTCAAAATAAGTCTCAAAATATATGCAGCAGAAATAGGAAAACACCAGCTTTCACTAATAAGCTTAATCCCTTTCCCAGAGGAATTATCCTTGACCAAAAAATAATGCCCTGAACAACAACCACAAAACAAAAGAACAAAAAATATCTGCGTTTTCAAATGAGTAGATGGGACCCTGGTTGGTATCCCGTCACTAACTAGGCAGAACTCCCCTTTATTCACTGGGCTCAACTCCCTTCAACGGGGGAGCCAGTTAAGCGTGCATTGTATTCTTATTATTGAGACAGGAAGGGATATGTCTCAGCTCAGCTCTGTGCCCAGAGAGATTTTGTGTTATATCAGCAGTAAAAAAAAAAATCAAATGCAGTTATCAATGGAAAACAGATGGCTGTGAGCACTGGGGACATGGCTGCTACTGTGCTGGAGAAGCCCTGTCTTGGGTGAGCCCACAGCTGGGTGGGATTACACACAGGGAGTGCCAGAGCTAAGAGGCAGAGGCCAGGACACCCACTGAAGAAAAAGAGCCTTATTATGAAGAAAAAAAACTAACAATGCCCAGGAGCTCTCCTTAACAATGCACTAATTTGTTTTCAAAGTGTGCTTTCTACCACAGTTTGAGCAAAATGTAATCTTCTAATTAATTTGCATTGAATAAAGACAGTCGTAAGAGTATTTACTGAAAGCAAAATAAGTAGTGGGGGGGAAAAACAATCTGGTTCCTTTTCACGGATGGTTAGTTTATCTCTTCTCCCCCAGATTGACGGTCATTAATTTTTCTCCTTGTTGAGGAGCTTGAACCACCCCAACCCCATTAGTGCCATATTCTCCATTCATTATTTATCAGTGCAGTAAATGGGAGCAGATGCCAATGAGCATGGACATGATGGCTTTATCAGCACCCAGGTGGCAGCAGCCTGGCCCCCTGCCAGGAGGTGCTGAGCTGGGAGAGAGCTCCGTGCCGAGCAGGGGAGAGGGGCTGACTGTCCTGGCCTGGCACCGAAGCTCACAACAAGGGAGATCTGTCAGGGTATCTGTCTCCCTAACACTCAGGGGAAGCCGAGAGTTACGATCGCTGCTTCCACGTCCCAGTCCACACTTAGTGAAGAGCTGAGCCTTATCAGCCAGTTCTTGAATGAACTTCAAGGTATTCAGTTGCCTTTAATGCAAATTCATTATTGACCCTTCCTGGCTCTGTCTTCTACTTATTCAGCACAGGGCTTCTGCAGTGATACATTTTCCCCATAGAGTTTAAAATCTCAAAATCAGATTAGATTTCAAATTAGATTCTTAGTATTCAGAATTGTTCATGTTTCAGGTAGCTTATCTATGGGTACAGGAGAATACAGTACTGTACGTACTGTACTACTTTTGAAAATAAATCAGAGTGTTTTTAAGTTAATGTTTTTATTCGGATGAATAAATAATCAATGACAAAGGCGGCCAGTTTTCAAATTGTTAACTACATCAGCCTAAAACCCCTTACATATTATGGAGGAAAAGAACAGTAGGAAAACCTACTTTTGGAGCACTCTGATTTCTGTCTTTGACAGTCACTGAAATGGAATAACCGATTGAGGTCACTTACACATCTCTCGTCCCATCTGCTGCTATACTGCCCATGGAAATGCTACTGTATGTTCATCTCTAGAGCAGCACTGTATGTCATCCACACTGCCACTGAGATCACCTGTCTCTTCCTTCCCTTCAGATAGGAATGTGTCTACATTTACCAACTCGTTCTGATCCATTTTTGTGTTTTAAGCTTAAAACATCACTGTTGTTAACAAATACATAGAGTGCTTTAAAAAGGTTAATTTTCTAGAGTGTCATCCACACACTCCAAGAAAGTCTTCAAGACAGTTATTAAATTATGAAGGGATCAGATTTGAGCTTTTCCCATTCTTTAACAGACAGAAATCTGAAGGGCTTATTTTGGCAGGGGGCATGTTTGTTGTGGAAGAGGGATCTTCGGCCTGCCTTTCTCCAGAGGTCCTGAACGCCTCCGACCTGGACACTCCGTCCGATGATCTGATTTTTCACCTGGAGGCTCCCCCTCGACATGGCTTCCTGGAGAACACTCTGCCCTCGCCAGGACATGAGAAGAGTAACGCAGGCCTCCGTGTGGGTAAGCACAACTGGCAGCCATTCCTGGTGAACTGGAATGGCCAACTCACACGGTTACATGACAACAGCATTACTGAAACCATTCCAGTGAAAGTGATCACAAGAGTCAGTAATCAACACAGTTATTGTTGATGTTTACATTACTCCCTAAATAGCCTGGAAATAACAACATGTTTGTTAACTTGTTGTTTTTGTGATTATGGTGATATTTAGTGTTTTTATTCCACATAATGACATGGTTGTTTTTTGTGTTTTTTTTTATAATCCATATCCGGTGATGTTTTCAGTTTCACAATTGTCCCTCTAAGGAACAAATGCGAGCCATTCAGATTAATCTGAGAATTTCACGGGCCACAACCATAGAACATTTCTAGTATGATCCACTGTTTGTGATGGACACTCCCCAGTGAGGACTTAAATTGAAAAATATGCGTTAAATACATAAAATATGCCAAATAAGTTCTGAAAAGTTTTTAGCTTCACCAATACTTATAAAATACTGTTTATTTTAATTTTCAAAGTAGAATACAGAACTTTAACAGATTAGTGTGGTTCTGAGATGCCAGTACTACTACTGTATATGTTCATTAATGCTTTTTCTGTACTGCAACAATTTTGAGACTTTAGAATGACAGAAACCACAGTGAAAATGTGAAAATAAGTGGTTGAGTAAATGGCAGATAATTGGGTGTTTTGCAGCCAGACATAGACAAAGTAGAATAAGAAGGATGGACAAGTTGTTAAAAACCTGAATGAGATTCACATGATCAGCAGCAGTGTTTTTTTTGTCTGCTCCATATTTGTCCACTTAAAATTCTCTTCAGGATTACCTGCAGGCCCAAAAGACTGCCCAGGGCTCCGAAAATAACCCCAGGCCTAAACTTTCCCCCATCTCTGATCCCTGAACCTAACTTCTTGTCGTAGCCCAATGACGTGTGTGACTGATGAGTGAGCGTCTGTGCCCAGTCTCTTTCAGCTTGTGGCACCTGACGTCTGGCTACATCAACTACATTCAGGCCCAGCATCAGGGTGTCGAACCCAACTCCGACCACTTCATGGTGACTGTTAGTGACGGGGTACACAGGTCCACATCCGTCCCTTTCTACATCATCATTAACCCCACCAACGACGAGGTCCCTAGCCTTCTTCTCAGGAACCTCACAGTGAGTAGCTGTCTCCACAGTGATTATTAATATTTCAAGTTCAGTTAACATAATATTCACTGTATAATATAACACTGTATTCTGGACCGTGTGCAAACTGCATTGAAATACAGCAATTCGATAAGTAGCTCTTAAAATATGTTCCTATTTCTCCTCTCGGGTGAATGGAACCCAATTTTATTTCCCAATGTCCTTGTGTTTGTATTAAAATAGCACTACTATTTTAGTTTTAATATTATTTTATTGATTTATTATGGTGCCTTTGTTGACAAATTTATCAAAGTATGCCAATCTATTATAGCAAACATATCTATTATACAAAAGTCTCTTATGATCCTCTGTTTTGATAAGGAAAGGAATAAAGATTAGTTTAGTCCCACCATTTGTTAAAAAGACTGAAACATGTTGAAACACATTCGATGACATAATGATACATTACAAAAATATACGCATTTATATATTCTGAGCACTTATGATATGTTTGACATATATACTAGCACAAGTACTGTATGTCAACTATAATGAGTAGAGTTTTAAAATGTGTTTCTTCATCATTTGACCTGTGATTTAAAACTATTTTTCAAATGCGCTGCATTCTGTTATCTTTTCACATCTGTTATATTAATATTGCATTCTGTATCAAGGCTGCTCTTCTTTCAAGGTAACTTTCATTATATCCACTGTGCCGCTGGATTTCCTCTACTTTGTGGCACAGCATGGCTGAGCAGTCAGACCCGTTTTCTTTACCTGATCACTAACAAGGTTACAATATTGTTCTCTTCCTTCATTCTTAGTCATTGGTGCTCAGTGCTGGTCGTGGAGGGCTAGTGTGCCTGCAGGATTATTACCATTTTTTACTTTTTTTAATTGGGCTGAAGCTTTTACTCAGAGTCTCTTATATTTGCGTTAATCTATACAAGTGGTGATTTTACTGGAGCAGTTTGGCTCAATTGTCTGTCTCAAGAGTACAACCTGGGACAGTGTTTCACCTAGGATTTGAACCCACAACATGAACCACTACATATTGTAAGTCCATTATAGGCTTAATTAGATGCGTAATAACTTTGGGGATTAAAGTAACATCCTGTAGAAAACTGCAAACCAAAAGGCATAGCAGCTCCTCCAGGAACAGGAGCAGCTACAGTATGTCTTCCCATCTTGATGAGACTGAACAAAGCTGACTCATGGGGTGTTTTCTCCTGGTGCTCCTTCTAGGTGACAGAGGGAGGGATGAGTGAGCTGAGTCCGGCAGTCTTGGATGCTGTGGATTTAGATTCTCCCCCTGATACCCTGACCTTCTCCGTCCTCGTCCGTCCAGCCTACGGGACAATCCTGAATGGCATTTACGGGCTCCAGATGAGCCGCTATAAACAGATGGGCTCTGGCATGCTAGACCAGGATCTACTGATTCACTCTTTCACCTTACAGCAGCTCCGCCAAGGTCAGTGTCCTCTTTATTGGACCAGTTCCTCGGATAAATAGCACGTTTTCATCTTGCATTGTGCTCTTGACAACGGTCTTACTTGACCTATGGTACGGAGAATCGAAAATCAGAACACAAGAAAAGCCACTTACTAGTTCAGTCAATTAGGCACATTTTCCTCTTAGCAGATTTTTAGTAATCAAGCACTAGCAGCTAAATGATTTGAAGATCTCATCCAGCTATTTCTGAAGGATCCTGAAGTGGTGAAATGTAACTTGTTGCTCTTCTCTGAGCTGAATCCAGGACAGCAATGACCTTTATGCAGCATGGCAAGCAATACTCCGAATGGAGCCTAACAGATACGTTCATAGTCTTTGAATCCTGTTGCAAATGTAAATTATAACTATACATAGAAAGAGGAGTGTACTAAGCTAGATCACTTATTAGTCTCATCTTTGGTTTTCCTCTGAAGACAGTCTTTTTACTTTAAGTTCACTATGTAATCTCATCAGCCTCAGAAATAAAACAGATTTCCCTTTTTTGCTCTTTCTGTCAGTAGAGTCCAGTTATTTCCTCTACCAGATGTTGGAAACAAAGGTCACACAGTGCCTGTGGTGTTGAGCTGCTTTTCCACAGGTCATTTGATCAGCTCTCCTCAAATTATTAGATAGCTTTGGACATTTAGGGTATTTCTGGAAATGTTAAAATTGTGCACAGATCTTGAGAGTCCTTTTTGACTTGAGACACTAGACATTACTTTACCCCTGTTATGTCAAGTGTATTGTAGTCTTTTGGTACAGTGTGGTGTGATTGGAATTTTTATTTGCTTTTCCATCAATTATCTAGCAGTTTTATCCAATACAAGCTCACAGGAGCCTATCCTGGCAAGCAATGGACACAAGGCAGGATACACCCTGGATGGGACACCAGTCAATAGCAGGGCAGACACACTAGCCCCAGTTTTCCTGAAAAGCCAAATAATCTACCAGTATGTCTATGGACAGTGGAAGGATACTGGAGCGCTCAGAGGAAACCTATGCAAACATGGAGAAAACATCCAGTACAAACTTCAAACTTGATAGCTTAACAATTGAATCTGGGGCCTGAGTGTTGTGAGGCAGCAATGCTCACCACTGTACTGTGGCACTTTTGTTTTGCTTTATTATATTTGCAGGGTGGTTTTGCAGTTCTCTCCCTGTGCTTTGTGGAACTGTAGAGCTCGTGAATTGGGGGTTGAACAATGCAAGGATGAGAACCGGACAAGAGACCAATATTTTGTTTTTACAGCTTAACAGTCACATTTCTACCTTGCTTCATTCTCTCACTCTTCCTGATCTCTCCCTTCCTTAATCACATCATCCAGTATGACCTGTCAGAAAACAAGTACATCTATATTAACAAAAACCTATCTACAAACGGATTCAGATAATTCTTTATAATTTAAATACTGTATGCTTTAAACCATATAACTGAATAAAAGAACAGCAACACAGGACGCAAGATTACAATTGTATTTTCTCTGCCCTCATTTTTCTTGTTGATGCTTGACCTCAGTGATTTACAGTGGATTTCCCATGATTTCAGTTTAAGTGTTTTCAAATATGGTGTGGTATTAATTTTAGGTGCACCATATGTTGTTTTAACTGCCAGAAGCATACAAATAAAACAATACCATCCCCTTACTCAGCAACTGCCATTTATAAATAATGACATGTTTGTTAACTTGATGTTTTTGTGATGCTGGTGATATTTTGTGATTTTGTTTTAGATTTTCGTTATGATGGCCATATCCAGTGATGTTTTCAGATAATGACATGTTTACATATACTGTAAGGAAATGTGATTTGTGAAGAGTGAGCTTTAGACTTGGGCATTTCAGACCCCAAATCCACTCTTTTTCTTAGCTTTGAACTTTGGAGAATCCTCACAGAGTGGCAACTGTCTCTTCTCCTATCCCCACCCCCTGCCCCCCTCTCTTTCTCTGCAGGAATGAAGATCGTCTACATGCACGATGACACAGAAACCCTCAAGGACAGCTTCGCCGTTCAGCTGACAGATGGCAAACACACAGTCCAAGGGACAGTGCATGTCCACATCATACCAGTCAACGATGAAAAGCCCAGGCTGTTGAAGTAAGCACGCCCTGGGACAAAATACCAAGCCAAAAATGTAAAGGGGAGATCTGGGAGGGGGGAGGGCTACATAACCTGTGTTGTGCACACGCAAGGAAAAGTCCTCTGACTGGGAATTTGTTGTATTTCAGTCAAATCTCCAGGTGCAGCTCTGCGCATTTCTGTTTTCCTTAGATCAGGAGTTTTGGGTCACCGCTTGGCAGTAGGCGTCGTGTAAGCTCCAGGAGAGCAGAAATGATGCGTGTTTTTGGCAGGCACCGCTCGCCTGCTTCACTTCCTTGCAGATTGTGCTGACAAGGTGGACCTGCCTTTCAAGATGTAGGCTGAGGCAACTTCTTCTCATGCGAAACAAACTGGCAGGGCTGTTGTCCTTGCTGTTTGGTTGTGCCATATCTACTTCAGCTATATCTACAGTACTCTAACAATAGTTAGCAGTTTGCTCTCAACGGGGTGGCAGTGGATTATATCAATTAAGTCATGGTTGTTGGATGGATGCTTTTCTTTTCTTTATGGAGTCATTTTAGTTCATTACACAGCTAAATTAAATGTCTCAGTGCAACAGTTCTGGTCTGTCCTTTGTACTCTTGGCAATACGTTAACTGGTTCTGTCTATAATGGAATCTGACAAACACATATTATCGTGTTGTATGTATATACTGTATCACAGGCTAGAAGTCATTCATGGAGTTTAAAAATGCTTATTCGCATGTCTTGGACTCTCAAACCCTAGTTTTCTCCACAGATATGACACTTATTGCTGACATTTTTATTTTAGTTTTTCATCCCCCGCCATCCCATCTTCACCCTTGCAACAGCTCCTTGGCTCATTCCTCATTACAAAGTGGGGTTCCCTGTGTTAAATGGGGTTTGATAGAACTACTGAAGTAACGTTAATATTACATTAATTGCATTCAAGATTTGTGCTGTATATTTTGTAATTATCTGTATATTTAGTATGAGTGTGAAGTCAGATTTAATTATTGTTTTAGAGCTAAAGGATGTTGTCTCTTTATGTGTTTGTTATTAAGATTGTGAAAACAGCTGGAATGGAAAAATCACACAACTATAACATAAATGCTACATTACATAAGTTAGTAATATTGCATCATTTCTCTTTACCAAAATTAGGACACTTTTGATACATTCTAAAATGTCCTCTTCTAGTTCAGCATGAAGCAGATGATTTGAGACAAACATTTCTGCAATGATTCTCCTATATGGTTTTTCCCAATAACCAGAAATTCTTCAGTAGAAGCAAAGCTTTTCACTGTCTAGAAATAGGAAAAGTCTATTAGTCAACATCTACTGTATAGTCAAACCCTTCCTTAAAAGTCCAGACTGGCTGCTGAGTAGATTGTAGTCCAGGTGTAGTCCAGCTCAAACTATCTACCATCACAGATATTCTGTAAGGTTAGCGGGCTGGGATAATATATCTATATTAGACCAAATAGCATCCCAGTTATGCTACTGAGCATACAGTCAGCAAACTGAAAGGCTGAAAACTCACCCGATCTGTCTCACTGTAACAGATTGAAGCTAATGAGCAAGTGGGACAATAGGGAGGAGAGCGGTACTGGTTCTGTTGCAGTGTTTGGAGGAGCACAGTGCCACCAGAAAACAGAACTGTTGCTGGTGTGTTTATTAACAGGAACCTTGCTGTTATGGACTGTTAGCTCTGTTTATACTTTCTGCTCCAGGAATACAGGTCTTGAGGTGAACGCAGCAGAGAACAAGGTGATTTCCAGCATGGTTCTGGAAGCCGAAGACAAGGACACCCCCAGCGACAGGCTCTACTATGTCTTGAATTCCTGCCCCAAGTTTGGTCAGCTGCAACTTAAGGTCAGGTCTTCCTCCTTAATCATTTTCAGTTCCCTTTGTTCCCTTTGCTGGACACTTACAACAGATAGGTTGGTAATACATCTCTTGGGTGAATTTTCAATAAACTCTTTCTTGGCAGATTGAAGTTTGAGTTCATTGCGCATTAGTTGATTTTGGATTTCATTGAACTAAGTCACGTATTCCCTCCCTGCCTGTGGTTCTTGCCAGACAGAGCTGCATCCATGTTCCAACTGATGCTGCAGCCTGCTGTTTGCAATGTGAAAACAAATCTCACTGGATGTGCTTGTTTTGTCTTCCTCTCTCTCGTGTTCATTCATAGGGCAAAGTTGTTTTGACTAACAGTCTGTTTTTACAGCTACTGTATACAAATAGTTTGTTATTACACCTTCAAGCAAAAAAAGCAAAAATTAGTATTTCCTAATTCTGAGAAATTGGCACTTGCCCCATTCTGTTGTCCAGATAGCAGGGGGTTGGGCTTTACTGCAGCCTGGCATGAATTTCACTCAGGAAGATGTGGAGATGAACCGCTTGTGGTACCTGCACACAACTATCCTGGGGGCCAAAGGTCATGACAGCTTCCGCTTCTACCTGACTGACCTGGACAATGAAAGCCCTGCCCACAGTGTCTTCATCTCCCTGCGGGACATTGACAAAGGTGGGGCATGTGGTGCTTTCTATCTTAGCCCCAAAAACTGTTTCCCCTTTGCAATTTCCATCCTTTAATGTGGCCTGGAGGCTGAAGCCAAGCCTTAATAATGTTAATATTGTAGAGAATCCAGGCCTGCTTAGATAAGTTACACATCTACTTCTAAATAAAAAATGTTAAGGTCACCATACTGTAGGTACAAACAATAGAGGACATTCACAGTTGAAACCGCAGCCCAACACCATGATAACTGTCTGACCTCTGCCTGATCATTTGTGCTTTTCCACTTTCTGGTCCCTGTGCTCCATGTGTGTCATTAAACACTTCATGTGGAGGTTTATTTATCTTTGATTTATTCATCTTAGAGTCAATACTTCACACAATTACAGGATATTGATTTAATTTGTATTTTAGCACAAACATAATGAACCACATTACAATTTAATGAAGTTTTAGGAAGTCATAGTTTTTATCCATGTCACTTAGGCCAGTGGTACACAATTCAAAGCCCCTTGCTTGCTGGGATATGCTCTGGCTCTCCCACAACCTTGTGTTGGATGAAGAGTTTAGAAAATGGTTGGATGAATATATCAATACTTGTTCCTGTAGCAAGTAACACTTGAAGTAACACCAAGATGCCACTTACAGTACACTCACAATTCCAGAACACCTTTTTTCAATTTCACTGAACTGTACCACAATAGGAATGTAAACAGTGCAGCTTCAGACAGTTCATGGTCTTATACTGTACCTGCTTGTTTAAAATGTAACTGTGTTGCTGCTAATTGACATAAATCACATAAAACTTTCCAACAATCTGATATTGTGTACTCAGAGAAAAGTACTCTTCAATTACTTCAAATTAGTACACTGTGTACAGTGTAAATGCACAACTCGCAGTGTATTAGTGCAACATAATGCACAGTGAGTTATATGTTTAGTGAGTTGTATTCATCCCTTATTAACTCCTCCCTCCATTTGTTATGATGGTACTGTTTTTATGCTGCACCAACTCCTTGTTTTGGAACTATAGGCTTGTCATAAGTCGTATGATACAGCACCAACCCAGAATTGATAAGCCCACAGTCTCCCTCCTCTCTCTCTCCCCTAGGTGACATTGTTCTCCTCACCAAACCTGTAACTCTAACTGAGGGTGACAGGGTGACCTTGACGACAGATGTTCTCCTAGCAACAGATGGCACCGGCAAAGTGGAGGAGCTGCTGTATGCCGTATCTGTGCCACCTGTGCGTGGTCACATAGAGTCCATCAATTATCCCGGCCTGCCCATTGCCACGTTCAGCCAGTTGGACATAGCAGCTCAGAAAGTATGCTACGTGCACGACAACAGCCATGAGGATGGACAGGATTCCTTCAGGTAAGTTGGGGGCAGAGGGCGAGCTGCAGGGCTACGGGGAGTCTGCAAGGCAGAGCCAGATGATCCCTTTACAGAGGGAAGTACAGAAAAGAAATTACAGTTTGAGATTTGAAACACTGAAATACGAAGCCCCTGATGGGCATGCTATATTTCTTCACACTCTCTATGCTTTTTAAAATCACAGGTACGTACCTGTGTCAGTATGCATAGGTTGCAAAAGGAAGGATCAGCCAAAGGTTTATTCCATGCTAAAAAGAAAAGAGCACAACGTTTTGGCTGTAGAGCCTTTCATAACTGAAGAAGGCTCCACAGCTACTACATTGTGTACCTTTTCTTAACAGCAGGGAATAAACCTTTGCCTTTTTTTGTACATCACTGCTTGTAGCAGGCAATGAGCTGCATGGTCACATTGAATTTTACTAATTTACAGTACATATCAATGGTTAATTATACTTTATTTTTGTAATTATTTTCAAATACACAGTAGAAGGAAAAAATAGCATTTAAATAGAAGGCCTGTTTTTTCTGGACCATCAGCACAACAGGATGAAATCTGAGTTTTATAGTTGCCTTTCCTAAATATTTATATTTATATTATGAATAATGTTTTCTGTATTTCTCCAACAGGCTAAATTGTGATTTCTTAATTTGCTCTTGATGAAGGGCTTTTTTTATTCTCCTACATGCATATCGTACATAACAATTAAACCCATACTTGTAATGAGAAAGGATCACATACAGTACAACTACACAAAAAACAGAAAAGGGTCAGCGTGTCGTACAATCATGACCATCTTTCTAAAAGTGTATGCCCAGCATGCTAAATTATCAAACACTTCTTAATGGGCTGTTGTGGGAAATTCTTCATCAGAGGAGCAGGACACAGTCTTGTGCAGATTCAGTTTTATTGAGCTCAATAAGCACACCAACGCGCACTAGGTCTTCCCGAGAGACCAGACAAACTGCAAGGGTTTCCCCAGCTCTTATATTCATTCAGAAAGACGTTTGTTTCACAATATGGGTGCTTGTTCTGTTCTTTGATATGTACAGTAATTACTGCTTGTCCTGCTCTGTCCTGCTCTAGGATCTGTCCTTTGATATGCAGCAGACATTGATCTGCTTTCTCCTGTTTGTGGGTGTTGTTCCTATCTTTTGTTATGTACAGTAGCATAAAGTCACTGGGGCTGCTAAAGCAAGTCAGATTTATGGCATCTAAGCATAACGTTTGTTGAATGCAAAATAAACAGACCCCAGCAACACCTTCCACAATGTGGTTAAGTGGTGATATTACGATGCTGGATAAGTGAGATATATACATGTCCCACTTCAGGGCTAAATTGAAATTCTCCGGTAATCTGTTGACAAGGGAAGCATGATCGATAATGGAAAAGCCCTAGTTTTGAGAGGGAATGCATAGTTTTGTTAATGAGTGGGAAGAGGAGGGAAAAGAGGAAGATGGGTGGAAAGAGAAGGGACTGCATTACAAAAGAAGGCGTTTTCCATGCTGTAGAAGCTAGAATGCAATGAAATACAAATCTGAATTTGTACGCCTGACCCATCATCTTGTGACTTAAGAAAAGGGAGCTCTTTTGTCACCCAAAGAGCTGGCTTTATTTCAGCCCAGGTCAGCAGGGATCAGGCTGTTCCATCAGCCAGGCAGGAGACTGGCAAAGATGCAGTGCTCCTCTCCTCAATATGCCTATTTCTCATAGTTCAATGTGTTGATCAGCAGTCATTCGCCGACTGTCTGGTTCGTTGTGTGCTTGGTACTGTATGTGTTGCCTCATAAATTTCCCTCAATAGAAAAAAAAAACTGGAGGATGTCAAAAAAGAAAAGTTGGCTTGACACAAAGCATTAGGACTGGGGGGTTAAAGCCATGTATGACTGGAAAAACACACATTTCCAATATGTCTTCCATTAAAATCTGTGTGAGAAATGAAATATGAGGAGAATAGATCTGTGCCAATTTGTGAGAGGCCATGAAACATGTGCACATGTCTTGGCTGGGTTTCTGTAACTGGTTAGGTTGACTGGGAAGGCCAGCTGGGGTGGGATGGAATGGGATTACAGTGATCCCATCAAACATACTTGGGAGTGAAGACCAGCAGATATCTCCTGAGCTAAATCGTGTTCCTTCCCCATTCACATGATTGGCTAGAAAATATTTGTTTGAACATGCAAGTTGTCAGTTTAACATTAATTTAATTTTGCATCTCATGGCTATTAATTCCATGTAGTGTTTCAGGCAGACAAAGCTACAAAGTGTGCAGTCCCCTGCAACACTGGAGATCAGAGTAGCTGATATGATCACACAATGCAATGCTGATCAGTTCTGTTAACTTCTAAAAATAAGTTTAGGTGACCTGGAGGCAGAGACTTGACATCTGACCACTTAAAAATCAAAGCATTTGATATTTGTGCCAGATTCAATATGTATTGTTTTTGAAATTCAACATCTTTGTGAGCGGTACTCAATGTCTGACACTGGACATATATAGAGTTTACATTATATAGCACACTTGAGTTTCTTTGAAAAATGAAAAAACGTATGTTAAAATCTGACAATTATGATAACATAATAAAAGATATGCTTTGCAATAGGTTACATTGTACAAAAGTCATTATACATATACATGAACACGTATACAGTACATTTGTATACTTATTAGTTTTACTGTCAAATTGATGTTTTACAGAATACTAATTAACACCAATTGGTAGTGACAATAAGGCCTATCAATTCGCAAAGAACAACCTCTGTATGTTGGTGCCAAGCATGCATTACAGATGTGCAGTGACCAAAGGGCAGTGCAGTGTCTTCTACAGCAGGCCCCTGTTAATCGATGCTGATAACAAATGTCAATCACCGTAATTAATTTTCCTATATCATGTCTGTGTAATAAAATGTCATTGCACATGATACAAAAAAGTTTCTTTTTCCTGAGGATAAGCATATGTTGCAGTTATAGGTTTTTTTTATATGTACAGTACATGAACTACAGTATTCCAAATTCTTCATGGTGTGCACCAAAAGTGTGTGCTTAGAGCAGAGCTTAGTATCTGAAGGTTTTAGCTTGTTTATACAGTACATTTGACAAAATAAACTTGATAAAGGTGACATACAGTACTGTATAAAAACAGGTATTCTGCTACCTGGGTTGTGTTTTGAAGCCAGACCCCATCAAGACTGATGAAACAAACCTTCAAATGAAGTTCTGGGTTGCAAAGCAGATTGACAGGTTGTTGTCAGACTGATGCAACACCAGTGCATAAAAATTAGCTTAGGGTTTTATCAATTCAGACAACATGATTTGGCCAAAGAAGGCAGAAAGGTTTTTTTTCCTCCCCTTTTCTTTGCATTGACAGGGGATGATAAATGGAGATGATTAACCAAATAATAACTCCTGGCATTTCAATGCATGTTAGGTTCCAAAAAAAAGGTTTTTAGAGGGATCCCACCACATAATTACCCAGAAATGTGGGACACGTCACCAGCTGTTTCACCAGTTTGGCTGAAAACAAGGTCTCCTTCTCAGCGGTTCGTGTGTATACTTATCAGCTGCAGGCACACGGGCCAGTCTGGAGAAAACATGTGTGAGAGGCAGATTGGATTGGCAGGCAGCTACGCTGTGCTCTTTTCAGTTGTGTTTTATTGTCACTCCTGCAATCGATGTCGGCTTCCCTGAGCAGGTGTAATTTAATGGCGACAAGATACACAAACCTTGCAATCTGGAAAGAGACGCGAACATTCGTTGTTCTTACTCTGTCTACTACTGTGTTGTAGGAACAGAAAAGAAAAGCTGTCACCCTGAAAACCTCTGTAGGATGCTCTTTGTGGCTGGCCTGCTTTGTCACTGCTTGATTCTCTTTTATTGTATACTGCTGGTGAAGTCTCCACATTCTTTCTTTCTGTTTGTGTCTAATTCTGATCTTCCTCTACTGCATCGGATGTTTAATTTGATAAATTCTGCAACACTTTTCTTCTGAGTCACTTGTATGCCACATTACTAATTACTGAATCACATTGTTGAGTGCTAGTACATTACATATCTCATACATTCTGTAGCAAACATTACTAATGAAACATGCATTGTATGTATTAATTATTAGTAACTAAATGGAATAAATTCATTAAGTACAGTAGCTAGGCTTTATACTGAGTTTATCCATCATTTTTAAGTGCTAGTACAGTATGTTATTCATGGATAACTAACACAGGGCTTACAGGTGAGACCTGAGCTGAAATAATACCTAAATTGCTTTGTGTTGAAGTGTGACACCTCTTCAGGTGATATGGTATATCAACAGGGTTTAGCACAGTGGAGTCGACAGATTCAATTCAAGCTCTGTTGTCCCATTTGGGGAAATGCATTTTACAGCACACTCCCAACATACAGTAACAACACAATGACAGACAAGATTTACCAAGCACGAAGTCAGTGGAACAGTGTTACAGCAAGATAATGGCAAAGATAGTTACAGCATTGTATGAAAGAGATGCTTTGGAGAATATCTTCCCCTCAGGACTTCTGCAACTTCCTGCTGTTTCACAAACCAAATTAAGTGGCTCACAATAGCAGTTGGCCGTTTGGTTTAATAGTGAGACTCTCAAGCCCATGTCAAGCTCTTTGGATTTCATGAAATGAAACACCTAAAGTTAGACAGAGCCTTTAATTGACCTTATCTGCACCATTTTTGCTTCCTATTAACTGAGAGTTGTTCTTTTCTATTTAACGCGGTCAAGAAGATGCATTTAGGTTAATTATAAAAAGCTCTTGGATACAGCTGAGCTAGTGACAAACTCTCAGAAAACTTAAAGATATTCAATTAAGTAGCTTAGAAGAAAAAAAATGTGGCTTTGTGAAATACACACTATTAGCTCATCATCGTTGAACAACTGACAATCTCGATGTAACCCAAATTTCTAGCAGTCTCATTTCATTGGAGAGCTCATTCTGACTCATCCAGAATAGGGATTGTTTTGTTTTTTGAATGAAGAACAGTTTTGGGGCTAAACAGTCTGGGTGGGGACAGAGATTATCATGGGTGTGTTTCTAGACAAGCCAATTCACTACATCACAATATACTTAATGGAAATGTTGCTGTGCTTTGTATGATTGCAAACAGCTTTGTGATTAGCAATGGAAGGACCTCTAAGAATGGCTCCCTGGCCTTCATCATCGAACACAAGGATCGCATTCCTCCAACGTTGCTTCTCAAAGGAGGCCTCCGGGTGCTGGAGGGTGCTACGGTGACCATCTCGCAGGACATTCTGGAGCTCCGTGACCCAGACACTGCGGTACAAAATCTCACCTTTTCCATGGCCCAGCTTCCCCAGCATGGCAGGCTTCTTCTGAAGGGAGAGCCCCTTTCCCAGGCTTCTTTCACACAGGCTGACATCAACCACCTGGATGTGACCTACCAGCACAGTGGGGGACCAGCAGTGATTGACAAGATCTTGCTCACGGCTTCTGATGGGACCAATGATGGTTTTCTCCTTTATGGGCAGCTGAGAAAAGAGCCCATTGCCTTCACTATACAGGTACAGCATGTCTCTGTTCATGTTAGCAGTCATTCAGTTGATTGAGCAATCAACAGAATGATTTTATTTCATGTTTTTTCCATCATAGGTTCTCAAAGTCCTTAATTTAGCCCATTTACAACTGCATGATCACAGATTGGTGCAATACTACATTTTATAAAATATAATCATGGTTAACAGATTAGGTAGAACTACCAAAAAACGAAATATGTACATTTTCTAAGATGAAAAAGATTATATATTGTGTATCACCAAACAGGACTGAACTTACTAGGAGTGGTTAAAACACAGAAGAAGACACTCAAGCCATCATGCTTGTTTGAATTTTTGCAGCTGAATCTGAGGAGTTTTTGCAGACTCCCAGGGCTTCAGACTCATGGTCAAGCATATTGTTGCCTGCACCCACTACACTTACTGTAGTACATAGTATTTCCAACCTTAAATGCACTTCTGCTTAAACTACAGTTGAGTGCTAGGGTTCTTGTTTCATTCTGCAGCCTGAAGTAGCCCATCCGTCCTTTGTCAGTACTTTAGTGCAGCACATGTTGAACACTCCCCTCGTCTGTTCAGAATTTTCCACAGTTCAAAACAGAGGAAATGCATTTCTTCTCATCTGTCCATGTCCATTTTAGATGGAGGACTTCTGGTCTCTCTTCTCTAAGCTCTTTGCAAAAGCCGAGCTTATGGAACACAGTAACCTCACTTTGTGTGCAGGCTACAACATTCTATATTTGCAATTCAATGTTCTATATTCAGTATTTGCTATAGTCTTAATAGGGTTAATAGGTAGACACGAGGCCAGTATTTTTCTGTTTTGGCAGGTGCAATGCTCCACTAATGGACAGCTAGAATGCATGCATTATTGTTTCTGCATTCCACAGTGCTCCACACGCACTGTCAGCAGGCATTGATTAGAACGTTACCGAGCGGTACCTGTTACAACCCAGACTGGTGGAGGGTAAAGAAAAGCTGCAGAAGGAAGAAAGGTAGCAATGCAGAATTGCCTGTGCTGGCAGGAACGGCAAGAGTTAATTAAGATCGGCCGCCGAAGGTGGTAGCATGCGAAAACTCATCTTGGCCAGGTTGCCTGGTACGCTGTCCTCCTTTCCCCCTGTGACATGCCCACTTTAAAATTCTGCTGAGCTGTCAGTGGCGCAGCTAACGTGCTGGCCAGCAGCCGGAAGACAAGCCTCTGAGGAAGGTGTGTTTGTCTGCCCAGGTGAAGCCCGTCGGCCCAAGAAAGTTTCTGCTAGCCCTCCGCAGGATACACATTGTCACTTGGTTGGATTCACATGCTCTCACTGTGGGGCGCAGCACGTTAAAGTTTTAGCTTGCTGTAATCCCTGGCTGCCTTCCTGAACTTTGAGGTCTTATTTCCGAAAATGTCCTGGTGGGTTTCTTTTTGTTGTAAGTTTCGTTTTAAAAACACAAAGTTCTTTCTTTAGTTGATATTGTTAAATATCACATAAGACGTATATCTGTGAAGTGATCAAGCCTTTCGGGGAGTTGTGTTACTCATGAAAGTAAGAATGGGTTTTATAGTCATTTAAGAGAATGTTAATTGTACAAGGAAAGGGTGGATAATTTAGATGAGGAAGTTTTCAGTGAATAGAGTCTTATGATAAGTAATATTGTCAGTCAAACTGTTTTTTCAGAAATAAGTTATTAAACTGTAAAATAGCTTATAGTATTTGTATCGTATCATTAGCTTTATCACTAACATTACATTAATATTATAATTACAATTATTAATTTAATAAGGATCTCTTGCTATTAAGATTAAGTTAGAAACCCCAAAGTGATATTAAATTTAGTAGCACTATGGAAACAGGAGTGTCACTTTGCTTTAACCCATTATATTTTCTTGACTTGATCTTAATAAGGACCATGAAACAGAAAAGTCTAGTTTCCAAGATATTTCATGTAGATCTTACTTCTCCACTAGAAATGGATTCCAAAAATCAAATGAGCTTCGAATACAGTACATTGTGAAAGTAAATTGTAAACTAGTTTGTTTTAATTTTGGCATGCTGTACTGAATAGATGTCTTAAACTATTATGTTTAAGTTCAGATCAGAACTGAATCACCTTATCCTTCTGTGTTCTCAGTATCTTTGAAGTGCAAAAGAACAAAACCAATGCATAAATGTCTGCTTTGCTTTGTGTTTTCAGTAAGAAAGAACACAGGACAACTGCAAATAAAATACATTAAAATCAATCCTCCTCAAGCACAGATTTTACATTTTGATACTCATTACACTCAGTAATGTCCTCAACAATGTCCTCAGTAACTTTTTCTTGTACTGTAGGCCTTTTTGTTTGTATGTACAGTAATACCCCTGATTGACTCTGGTCCTACTCCTGGTTTTTTAGTGTTATACCTGTATGTGTTTTTAAACATCACCAAAAATTCACACTCGTCCTAGTCAATGAGATTAATTTAATTACAACTGATTGCAATGCTGGCTGTCCTACAGCTCAATAGAAGCAGGTGTCCAAAACTGATTCTGTAAATGCCTGAAAATCATCAGCCTTACTTGTATTATGGTCCAAGTATGAGCTTGACCACCTGTCTGGCCTAAATACAGTGGCATGTGCAGAAGCTGATACAGTACTAGTAAGTGGATCTAGGCTGCTCAAACTTTTAAAAACCCTTTTTTACAGGTTTCTGTGATCACATATGTGACAAACTACTGTATTTGTCACACATATTGATAACTCATTTTTGTTTTATTATGACATTTTAGGAGAACAGTTAACTGAGTATGTGTTAGAACATGAACAGATGAGGCTGAACTTCTGTATGCCCATACATGGTTCAAAAGATTTAATAAAATATTTGCACATATTGCAGTTAAATCTACTCTCAAACATATATATACACTGTATACTGTGTGTTTATATGTATAGGTAATGTGTTTGGTGGGAAAGACGAGGCTAGCACTGAAATTGAATAACAGACGTGGTCAGATTATGAAAGTTGCACGTGAATACGTTTTGGTCTTCCTGTTATTCCTAAAAAATTAAAAATCTGAAATTTTATCCAAACATCTTGATTCGTACAAAATAGGACGAAGTCGATCACTTAATGATCACTATGCCGCAGTACAGTAGCATGGGATAACGTGAGCGCGCCCTCTAGTGGTCACAACGACTGGATGCAGAACACAGAACCTGTGTGGTATGTACTGTACTAGAATGAGCACGCCCTCTAGTGGTCACTGACTGCAGAGAACAGAGCAGATCGTGTATTGGAATAATGCAATTTAAAAACTTATTTCAGGTATATAATACAATGCCGAAGCTGTGTTTGTTCTCCATAAAATATGGTAGATACTGTTCATTCAGGGACTTAAAGGAATGTCCTACACTGAAAGGTTGAAGGAACTGAACCTTTTTAGTCTTGATCAGATAATATTACAAGGGGACACGAAAAAAAGTAATCAAAATCCTCAAAGCCAATGACAAAGTCCACACTGCCCATTTCTTCAGAATGAACAATGAAACAGGAACGAGGGGACACAAGTGGCAACTACTGTACATGAAAGTGCATTTAAAACTGAGAACAGGAGGCACTTTAAAACCTAAAGGGTTGTGGGAGGATGGAACACGCTCCTCAGCCATGTTGTCGAAACGAGTACCCTGGTTTCTTTGAAGAAACTGCTGGGTGAGATCCTGGGGTCAGTTCATTATTAACCCCCAAATAGGAAAGATGAACCAAAAGGCCTCCTCTCACTTATAACCTTCCTTATGTTCTCATGCAAAACCTCCAGCACTGAAAATTAACTATTCTGATTTAGCTAAATTAATAGCAAACTGGCCACAAACTGTTCTCCCCCCTACCGTCTGGCAAGCAGTACCGCACTGTTAAAGTGAGGAACACTAGACTCAAGACCAGCTTCTATCCCACTGCAGTACGCATCCTCAACAGCTAACTGCAGTGCCTTAATACACATCCGCACTATGCACTTTTTACATAGTCTACCATTTTATTTTCTCTTGGTCTCACTACTACACATTGTTCCTGTCATCTACATTGTGTGGTGCTGTCTGTTGTACTACTATATGTATGTCCAGAGAGATCAGCGTGATTAAGAATTCCAATGTACGTGTACATATGGCAATAAACTACTCTACAAACCTTCCTCCAAAATTTGGATTTTGTTTATCCCTGCTTCGGGTCGTCCCATGACTGTGGTGTATTTCAGGTGGATCTCATTGACAAGGCGGCGCCCAGAGTGGTCTCCAAGGAGACCCCCAGCACAGTGGAGAATCTCAAGGACGGTCGTCATGGAATCTCTATCTCCTCCCGCCACCTGAAGGCCTCAGACCCCGACAGCGAGGACCAGGAGCTGGAGTTCACAATCCTTCGCCCACCTTTCTTTGGATACCTGGAGAACACGCTCACAGGTCCTTCATTGTTTCACATTCTGGAGTTCTGCTCGAGTGAAATAACAAAAGTCAGTTCTCCAACTTAGTTTTGCCCTCTCTGGGGGTTGATGGCCATTGTTATTTCATCATTAGAGAAGTAATGTTTTAATATTTATAAAAACAATGTGAACAGCATTAACAATATAAAGCCATGTGGATTTTAAACATATTTATGATTTTTTCATGTAAGTTCATTGTTACACTTCTGAAGAAAACTGAGTTTATTAACATTATTAATAACAGTATATTTATTATTCTGTATATTAATAACAATGAATGTATATTTTAGTTTTTGTCATTTTTGAACTAAATCCCAGCATCTTTTAATTTAACTAAATATTGTCCTGCTTTTTGCCTACAAAAAGTAATGCTTTTGCAAAACTGAGGTTATCATTGCACAACGGGGAAACTTGAGTTTCTCTTGCATCAGCACACCTGTGAACAAAATCTTCCTGAAACTGGAACATGTGAGGACAGGTTTACAGCGTGTAATATCTTTTCACTCCCTTGAGCAGGTGGTTATGTCCAAGGACGCTTCACCCAGAAGGATCTGAACCAGCGTGCCATTCGCTACATCATCAACCCAGCCATCGAAGTCACCAGAGACAGCTTCGAGTTCAAAGTCAGTGATCCAGCCGGAAATTCCATATTACCTGAAGTGTGAGTTCATTTTACATAAGAAATTATTTGACCCTTAAACTATGATGGATACTTTTAATACATTCAACAATTGTCCTCTGAAGGTGTCCCTGGGTCCTGTAGGTCTATAGCATGTTCATAAACCCCTTTCTTTTTGTGTGTTGCTCCGATGTTCAGGAGGTTTAGTTATTCTTTAAACTGGATTCTTCTCCACGCAGCATGTCTTTCCAGTGGTCTCGGGTTGAGCTGGCCGCCACGTGTTTCCGTGTTTGTGAGAACGTGGGCACCTTGTCTGTCCAGGTTGTCCGCACTGGCACCAGTGGAGAGCCTTCATATGTTGGCATTCAGGTGAGTGGACCAATACACCTGCTGGCTATCAGTTATAACACTGCACTGGATGACAATGGGTTTTTTTGCCAGATGTTTACTGTGTCTTTCCCAATGCAAAAACACCAGCAAAGTTTCAAAGATAAATGTTTTATTTATTTTAAAATTAACCATCCAATGGTCACTTGAGCAATCTTAATTAAATAACCTTATTATTAACAACAACATTATTAATTGGTATTATTATTAATAAGACATTTAGGTCCAGGCATTTCAAGAAAAATAGTAATATGTTTTCTAAGCCTTTAAGCTTATGGAATACAACTGTGTGCAGTTGTCTTAACAACTAAGGAAATTCTTTAAGCAAACTAGAGCTGCATCCCTGGCATTTAAGCATACTTTCCTGTGCCTTTGGTTTTTTGCCTGTAGCTTGCAGGGTCTGTTCAATGAAAAAACACCATCAAGTCTTGTGGAAAGCAGTGCATATGGAATTTAATATGGATGTGTTTGTTTTTTTGTAGTAACCTAAGTAGTCCCAATAACTTTAATATCTCCATGCAACTGAAAACCCTTAAAATGTCAAGGAATTCAGGACAGGTTTTGTGTTCTGGTTCAGGCAGAGGAAGGTACAGCCAAAATGGGCCGGGACTTCACTCACAGCTCAGCCTCTCTGATCCAGTTTGACCCAGGTGAGTCCAAACCTGCCCTTATCAGTACCCACCTCAGCCACAGGGAGCAACAGCTTCTACCTGTGTATATAGACATGACCCAAAATCATAAAAGCTGTGGCAGACACTACCATAGCTCATATAGACATGCAAACAAACATACTGTAATATATTTATACATATTACAGTATATATAACTGTATATAAACAGTATATATAACTTTTAATCACCAATTACTCTGATACCCACTCAGTTTGGATTAGACTGTCATGAGACTGGGATGAGATCAGGAGATTGGATGAGATTGCCATGCTCACCCATGCTCAATAACAAGTTATTGTTACAATGGCAACTGGCAGAGACTATGTACCCATCAGCCCATGGTTACACAGCCAGACAGGAACCCTGTTCCACCTGTGCCCAATTTACAACCACTCCTGTCTCAGATGGATCAGATTTAAAATCCCCATGCACTTTCCCTCGGGATCTGTTCACATAATAGAGCCTTGCTCTGATTCCTCGCTTTGTTCTCCAATCTTGAGTTTTCTGCTCGTGCTGCTTCCAGATTCTTGACCTTGCTTCGTCTTGATCTTGTCTCCTGGATTTGCCCTCATGCTTGTGAACTGCAATTTACACAATAACAAACTGTGCTTGATTGCCTCGACCCCATTTGTAGATTTCCCTTATGTGCTGGGTTTCCCCCTGAATAATGATTCAGACTAAAGTACATATCGGGACTGTTTTTTTGTCTGCCCATTTACCATGCTGGCCTGTGCCTGCTCATTTGCCTATTCCGCCCGCACTTGGGCTCTTCTCAAGGTCCACAGACTGCTGCTTACTCCGGTACAAGCCAGTCTGTTTTTTCCACATGACAGCCAAGCTGCCAGTTCTGTGTTTTTCACATCTCAGTGTGCAGCTACAAACCCACAGCTGAACCTGTTCAACCTTGCAAGGAAGGAGATCACATGGAAAACCTCAAGTGCCACAGTATTTAAGTCTTTCATGCTGTCCCACCCTGATTTGGAACAATTTTATATTCCATATAGATAATGAATGCAATCAAATTAGCAAAAATTGTCCCAATAATTTGGGGTTCTGAAGTAATGACATGCAAGATATATTTTTGCAAAAAAATAACTGTTTTTTAGAATCAAGGAAGAGATTTCTGTAAAATGGTCAATATAAGACATTATCATGATCTACAGTAGGTATCTAGAAGTTGTATAATCAACATGAACACTACAGGACTGAGAAATAGAAATATGAGATCTAAGCTCTAATCTTCTGCCTGCCTGCTTTTCTGCAGGAGTCAACACAAAATCCTGGAACATCTTCTTGCGGGACGACGGGCTGGAGGAGAGTCATGAGAAGTTTCAGATCCTCTTGAGGGCACCAGAGAACGCAGTCTTGGGTCAAAGGAACAGGGCCACTGTGGAGATAATGGATCCCAGAGGAGGTAGGCTTGAAACAGGAAGTAGTGCCCCTGGTCAGACAAGTGACAAAAATTCGTTTAGTATGGGATGAAGTCCTAACTTAATTTAAACAAATTGAAGGTGTAGCTTGAGCATGAAACATCTAAAAAGATACAAATGGAAATAATGTTGAATAAATTTAATACTCAGGACAGGAGGCACTTTACACAGAGCAAGAAACCACAACGAAATACAGTACTCAACCATATTCTCTGAGGTGATACTCTGAGATCCTTCATGAAATATCTAAAATAAACTTAAATGTATGTTCCATTTTGTGAGAATGGTCATTTGTTAGTATTATGTTACAGTTATTTATTTATACAGTGCCTGTGTTAAGTATTCAACCCCACCAATCTCACAATACTGCATGTTCCTGAAAACCCCTGTGGATGGAAAAACTGCAGTTGGTAAAAACTTGAGTATATGGGAAGCAGAGGGTCAGGTTCCTGCACTCTGTGGTTTTATTCCTGTAATGTCTTTGAAAACTGCTACTGTCATGGGTTAACTACAGAATCCCTTCTCTTCAGAACACCCTATAATCTTTTTGCCTCTCCTCCCGATGAGTTCTTCAACACTTTGAATGCACTGCTGAGACGCTTTAAGAGATAATTCTTCTTTTTTGCTCCCTGTGTTTGGTTACCGAGGGAAACATTTTTTAGTGCATTAATACTCAGACATTTAGCAAACAGGACCATGTGGAGTCTGCCTGTCACTTGCAAAATTGCTGCTCCACTGTAGCTGTTAATTTCAATAGCTTGCCAGTTAATTGTATGCTGACAAGTGTAAATTGCTCTTAGCAAAGTCTGTAGCAAACACTGTGTAAAAGGAAGTCTTCAGTGCAGTTACTCACTTCCTAAATGAGGGAAACTCAGAAACACATTTCCTGGCAAAGTGTCGATACAAATCATTAAACTTGCCTTAGACTGTAAGAATTGGAAACAACTTTTAAAATGGTCCAGTTAAGGAAATACAATCAACTAGTGCAGTGCTGCAGGTAAGAGCTCAAAGCAGACATCGGCGCCAGAGTTGTGAAGCCCTGTTGTGTGAAGCCCCTCACTGCACTGAGATGTGAAACTGAATGAGTGTGTTTGTCAGGGAGCTGTGACCCTGAGGAGCTCCACCCGGAGGAGGAGGAGGAGGAAAGAGAGATTAAAGGCCCTCCTGTGCTCTTTCTGCCTGGGGAGGACGACGAATCCGTTTCCGGAAGAGAGAAGAGACCCACACTGGAGGGAGAGGTCCCTTGGAAGCATGTCCCACCCCGTGGCGACGTCCCCGACACTCATCGCTTTGCGGACTACAGCGAGGGCGAGATTCTGGGCCAGCTCTCCACGCAGAGAGAGCATCTGCGCATCACTGGGAGCAGCGGCAGCACAAGGGTGTGGAATCTTGATATAATAAATTGGAACCTGCATCTTTATAGAGACTGGAAATTATAGAAAAGGTCTAGTTAATGGATCAATTAAGTTATTGAGTTACCAGAACACAATGAAGTTATTTGGACCAGGGTGGAACGAGTGCTAGATCCCTGAAAGACACCATAGGCCTATGAGACAAGATTGCCAATACTTTTTTTTTCATTTTACATCTAGTGGGCAGCATGGTGGTGCAGTGGTTACCATTGCTGGCTTACAGCACTGGGGCCCTGGGTTCAATTTCCTAAGCTGCCACCTCCATGGAGTTTCTATGTTCTCCCCGTGTTTGCAAGGGTTTCGTCTAGATTCTCCTGTTTCCTCCCTCTGTCCAAGGACATACTGATAGGTTAATTGGCTTCCAGGAAACTTGGCCCAGGTGTGAGTGTTTGTGTGTCTGAGTTTCTGCCCTGCAATGGACTGGTGTCCCATGCGGGTTGTACCCTGCCTTACGCCTGTTGGTTGCTGGGATAAGTCCTGACTCTTCCGCAACCCTGAATTCAAAGAGGTAAGAACATGGATGGATGGATTTATCATTAAACCTTGATTAAAAAATGAGTTTAGCATTCTCTTGAATCTAAATGTTTTTCCTTACATCACTATAAGGAATGTAAATGGCAGTCGGTGCTTCAGAAATACGCAATGTACTGTACTTTTATACAGCTAGTTTTTGATGTTTGGATAATTTTTTGTTCAGTGGCTTAGAAACAGGCATGAGCTAAGTGATACTAAAACAAGACTTTAATTTTGCATCTATTGTTGTAAAACACCAAAAGAAGCTATTTTATTAAAAGGTGTTTAATATTTGTTTTGTTTCCTCTGTTTAAATTCAAGATTTATCCCCCAGAAATGAAGATGAAAAACAGAGAGACAATTTGGACGGTGAGATCAGTTTTTAAATATAAAGATTATGGAGGTCATGGGAATTATAGCATAAAGGGAATGAAACTGGTATGCAGGACAAATCTGTATGTGATTTAATAACTACTAAGAAATGCTCTGTATGACAACTAAGCATTTCTATAGAATAATGCAATGAGGAAGACATTGGGGTAGATTTGATAAAATTACTCCATTTTGGAATTTGCAAGCACTTTGATTTTTAAAACCCTGGAGCCCAGTAATCAGTTAAGATCTTGGCTGTGCCACTAGCAGGCTATGATGGAGATTCCCTCATAGGTGACACCATTGGTCTTGGTGGCTTCAAAGTTGGCCAGATGTCTGGGGGCTTGTGACACTGTCCATGTAGGCTGCAGCAGGCCTCCATCTAACATCGGAGCTCAGCTGTTTGGACGTTGTGCTTGCAGATTGAAGCAGAACAAGAGAGAACATCACCCACTGTGGGGGATGTAGACCAGCTGTCTTCATGCCTTCTAGGTTAGGATCATAGGAAGGATGTTGTGATTGGCAGCTGACAATTCAGAACTTAAAAAGGTAATAAAACTAAACATAGCTGGCCATCCAAACAAGACAGAAATCAGGTTACTTTCCCTCCATCAGGGTGCTTTCCATTAGATGTGCTTTGTGAGCCAGCAGCCATATCATCCTGCAACTCACAACTGGCAACCCACTGAAGCTCAGCAGGTGTGAGCCTGGTCAGTACCTGGATGGGAGACCTCCAGAGAAAATCTAAGGTTGCTGTTGGAAGAGGTGTTAGAGGAGTCAGCAGGGGCACTCACCCTGCGGTCCACATGTGTGCTAATGCCCCAGTATAGTAACAGGGACACTATACTATAAACAGGCACCGTCCTTCGGATGAGACATAAAAGTGAGGTCCTGACTCTCTGTGGTCATTAAAAATCCCAGCGTGTTTCTTGAAAAGAGTATGGATGTTATCCTGGCATCCTGGCCACATTTCCCATTGGCCCTTATGTGCCTCCAAATAATCCCCATCTATGAATTGGCTTCATTACTCTATTCTCCCCACTGATAGATGATGTTTGGTGAGTGTTCTGGTGATCTATGGCTGCTGTCGCATCATCCAGGTATATGCTGCACATTGGTGGTGGTGGGGAGTCCAATGTTGCATTGGTATGGTCGCTATTGTTTGTTATGGGTCTTTTTGCAGCCATCAGGTAATTTTAGATTATTTTTTTTTTTACTTGTACCAAGTTCTGAATATTAGATTTTCATCATCATTTTTACTTTATCAGCCATGGCTGATTAAAACATAAGGAAGAGTTAAGAGTTCGGCTCCAGCTCACTGCAACCCTGTACTGGACTAAGCAGTGATGGAAAACAGATGGAAGGGTTGGGAACATGTTAAGAAGGGTCTTTAACTTAAGCAGTGGCCTAACAATACAGAACAGAAGTTAGCTACTCCGGAAAAGCATTGCCTTGGAATTCTTCTCTTGTAAATTGTTCAACGTTTTGGGATGAATGATATTACCAGTTTGCTCCTCACTCTTCCTTCCTCAGACTGTGCTGGATTGGTACTCAGCTTTTACGTGTTTATTTTGTTTTTGGATGCAGTTTCATGGCATCATTCCCCTTAGAATGGAGGAGACCATGGGTCCAGTCCCAGAGGTGCCTCCCACCCATTCTGAGCTGCAGGCAAGCCCTATCTGGGCCTGGCCTCCCCCCCTCCTCCCCGCAGAGAGTGGAGGAAAGGAGGTTCTTCAGGGAGACTCTCCTCCACACCCTCTCAAAGGCCGAGCCAGGAAGGCAGAGGTAAGGGCTCAAAAGAGGTAGAGAGTGGTTGGATCTCGTGGCTTAAAGCAAGAGATATCCCAGAACAGACAAAGTGCTGAGCTGAACCCATTGTTTGCTTAACTGAAGAAGCTGCAGCCTCTTCCTTGCTCTCAAGCAGATGTTGATTTAAAGAGACCTTAATGGACTGCAGCCATTAAAATCTGGAGCTGGCCAGTATTGTAATATTCACTAAGTCCCAATCACCCAATAGGTGATAAAAGGGATGACATTAAGCAAAGGGGGGGGTAAAATCTAGCAAAGACATGCAATCGTTTCTATTAGGGGCATACAAGTTTGAAGTTTGAAAACATTTGACAAAATGCTTCCTCAAAACTATTAAATCTGTAAAACTGTTAACTATAACAGCATGTAAAGAAGAGTAAATCTCAATATCATGGTATCTGAGGTGTCCAACCAATGGTTAGACTACTGCAATGATCAAAAAGGAATTAGCAGATGAGACACTGAAAAACACTACATGCAGTGCATATAAACTATATTCAATAACATGTCTACATATAGTATAAGATTTGGAGTTTATAATAAAATGTCAGGATGGATAACAGACACACTGCTGTCTATAATTTGTAATCACTCCTGAAGTCATTCCCTCACTTAAATACTATACATAATTCCCTTCTCTCTCTCGCATACTCTACCATCTCATCCTATACAGGTACATCCCGTATTGTATCCCATCTCCATATTTAAAGCTGCACTCTGCATGGGGGTGCAGTGGCCAGGAGGTTAGTCCTCAGCCAAGCGGGTTAAACCAAATTTCAACCTAACTACTCCATAATCCTTTCAGTGTGTTT